GCGAAAACTTAATGTGTTGCTCCCCTTCCAACGTCAACCAAGAAAAGCTTGGTAGAAGGTTAGATGTGAGAAGGGATCGCCCCAACGTCTTTTGATTTTGACATGGTTGGGTAGACCCCTGGAGTACCAAGAAGTGTTAGTAGAAGAAGGGATCGTCAGCCCTTTGGATTTTCGACATGGCTTTGGGTAGACCCCTGTACCAGGTTTTGATTGTGGCTCAACTGGTCAAAGGGCATTCTCCACGTTCCCAAAGCTCCGCAGTGGTTCAAGAATGCGACGCACCCCCGCTTGGGGTATGCCCCCCAAATGTACACTCGCATGTACATACAGTTTATTTTCTTGGGGGGGCTCGGAAACGAGACACGCCTTCTTCCTTCACAAGCAGATAGGTTTCGTGGCTAGTTGGGACCGTGTCAAAATAACCCCCCCCCCCATCATAATTTCCCTCTGTATTCATCCTGACCCTCACCAGATTTTGGGGTCCTTGGGAACCACTCCCAATGGGGCCAACCTTGAACTGGGCCTTTGGATGTTGGGTGTGGTTGTTGGCTTCGGGTTTTCGGAGCTCCCTTTTTCTTGAATCAAATGATGAGCATGGCACTCTTCGTTTTGACTCTTCTCTTTGCCCAGAGGGTCCAAGTACTTCCTGAGGACGGCTTTGGGGGGGTAAAAAGGGCTCTAAGTACCTCCTTAGAAGGTACCATGGGACCCTCTTCGCTTTGCAAAGTCCAGCGGGCGCCGAATTGTTTTTTCCTCTCCGCTCGGCCATGCGCTCAGGCGAATGGCAGCGCTCCGCGCAGCTGCTGGCGAGCTGGTGCCGGCGCGGCGGCTCGCAGTGGAAGCGGGAAGCCGCACGCTTTTTTGCCCGGTGGAAATGGACTCTAGGTCCCCCAGTAGTGCCCTTTTACCAACCTTTTTTGGGGAGGGCCTACTAAAATAGACTACAGAAAAAAGGGTACCCTTATTCTAACCTCTCTACTGGAGGACCTAGGACTTCAACCAACAGAAGACGGGGGGCTACCCTGTGGTCCACGTTGCACATGGAACCCACCAACAGGGGTCGTTTTAAAGCAACGTCGTCTTCCAGGACCTTTTTGTGAGGTTCCGCATTTTCGGATGGGAAGGTAAACCATTGCAAGTCGTATACCACAATTGTGGCTTCGTACCCCACAACCCCATTTTAGTCGTTTCTGGAGTCACGCTTTGGGAAGATCGTGGAAACAAAGAATCTGGGCTTCTGACCAATACTCACCTGCCCAAATCAAATCGAGCTTTTGTCCTTTCAGTTTCGCCTGTTTAGTCATTTCTTAGTCATGGCCCCAAGTGATTCCTGGGTCCTTTGGGCAACTGAGAATACAAGCCCCGCACCTGCGCTCAGATTTGTCTCAAAATAGGGGAGCTCTAAAACGCGGTGGTGGTTTCTTTTGGTTTCCTTTTAAAACACACCAACAAAAGCAGACCCCCCCCCCCAATTCGCGTGAAAAGAAGCACTCAATGGGAACCTGGTGGATGAATGAACTGGTGATTCTGAGTGGAGGGAGCGACCCATCGTAAGGGGCCGAGGATGGTAGCCTCCCGATCTAAGACTGTGAATGTCAATAAAAGGGTATACCAAGCTTGAACAAAACAGGTAGCCGACCTTTTGCAAGAGGGTTCTGTCTCATTAAACCCTGGTGACCCCCTCATGAAAACCCCTTTACGAACCCCCTTCCTGGGCCCCTCACGATCATGAACCCCTCACAAACACCTTCACGCACCCCCTCACAAACCCCCCCTCGCAAACCCCTCACGAACCCCGGTTTGTGCGGGCTCGCGAGGGCTTCATGACAAATTCATGAGAGGTTGGGCTTCCTGAGGCGTTTGCGCGGGTTTGTGAGGGGGTTTCTGAGGGCATGACGGGTTCCTCATCATCTCATCAAGCCCTCATGAACCACTCCTGAACATCTCATGAACCCATCGTGAACCCCTCATCACAAATCCTCGCGAACCTGTCACGAACCCAACCCCCTATGAATTTGTCATGAACCCCTCACACAAACCCTCACGAACACATCAACTGCCCATGAATGTATCACCACCCCCTCATCATCACCTTGTGATTTGTCATCAAGCCCTCATGAACCGCTCCTGAACATCTCATGAACCCCTCGTGAACCCCTCCTTGCGCACCTGTCACGAACCCAACCCCTCATGATTTTGTCATGGGCCCCTCACACAAACCCTCACGAACACATCAACTGCTCATGAATGTATCACCACCCCCTCATCATCACCTTGTGATTTGTCATCAAGCCCTCATGAACCGCTCCTGAACATCTCATGAACCCCTCCGGAACCCCTCATCACAAATCCTCGCGAACCTGTCACGAACCAAACTCCTCATGAATTTGTCATGAACCCCTCACACAAACCCTCACGAACTCATCAACTGCTCATGAATGTATCACCACTCATGAACCACTCCTGAACCTCTCATGAAGCCCCTCGTGAACTCCTCATCACAAATCCTCGCCAACCTGTCACGAACCCAACCCCCTATGAATTTGTCATGAACCCCTCACACAAACCCTCACGAACACATCAACTGCCCATGAATGTATCACCACCCCCTCATCATCACCTTGTGATGTGTCATCAAGCCCTCATGAACCGCTCCTGAACATCTCATGAACCCCTCGTGAACCCCTCATCACAATCCCTGCGCACCTGTCACGAACCCAACCCCCTATGAATTTGTCATGAAACTCTCACACAAACCCTCACGAACACATCAACTGCTCATGAATAAATCACCACCCCCTCATCATCACCTCGTGATTTGTCATCAAGCCCTACCCAACCCCCTATGAATTTGTCATGAACCCCTCACACAAACCCTCACGAACTCATCAACTGCTCATGAATGTATCACCACTCATGAACCACTCCTGAACATCTCATGAAGCCCCTTGTGAACTCCTCATCACAAATCCTTGCCAACCCGTCACGAACCCAACCCCAAATGAATTTGTCATGAATCCCTCACACAAACCCTCACGAACACATCAACTGCTCATGAATGTATCACCAACCCCTCATGATCACCTCATGATCTGTCATCAGCCTCTCACGAACCCCTCGTGAGCCCCTCATGAACCCCTCCTTACAATCCCCCCTCGCAAACGCCTCACGACCTCACGATTCGTCATGTCACGACCGCCTGATTCACACCTCGTGATTTGTAATCAAGCCTCGGACAGGCACTGTGCCCGCGGACATCATCGCGCGTCTACAAGAGTTCGACTCCCAAAGATTTTGGGGGGCAACGCTGCTGCGTTCAAATGCAGGCTCTGGCCGCAGGCTCTGGCCAAGAGCGGCCTCTAGGTCTCTCAGCCAGGGAGCGGGTTTCCGCCCACCTACAGGCAATGTACGGGCACAGCTTTGCCTTTTTCGACCCCAATATTTGGTACGACGAGGACGAAATGCGTAAGCAAGTGGAGCAATTAAATGGGTGCATCATACTCACTGGACAAGCGGCTCCTGCTGCGAACCGCAAGCTTCGTGAAGACCTCTTCAAGAAGCTTGCTAGTCCTGGCAGCGTCGCTGGACGCAAGCCGTACGGTCTGCTGACGTGCATGGTTCATTGCGTGGGCTGGGAGGCTAGAGGCCAACAGCATGTTCCAGTTTGCAGATGTTGGGAAGAGAGACTACAACGCGATCTTTCGCCGGGCGTTGGTGTGGATGGTGACGGCGCGCGTTGAGGACCGGAGGCGATTGCAAAAGTGTAGCAGGCGTGAGCCTGGCTGATTGCCAAGAAAGGTTTCGCAGACCATGGCTTCAGGATCTCCCCACCATCTGAAAATATCCAGGTCAATCAAATGACGCTGACCAGCTGTGTCATAATCAGAAACGATGACATGTGTCACAGAAACGATGGAACGACGACAAGTTCTGCTGGCTGCCTTGTCACCCCAAAGGCCCCGTAGCGCAACGGATAGCTAGGCTATGTTGCGGAAACAATGACACGGGCTAATACATAATAATAGTTAGAGAACTCAGCTGGTAGCCTGGCTGCTCGGGTCATTTTGCAAAGTTCTTCGCGGCGCCCGTCAGGGCAAATACCCGGCCAAGTCGTTGCGTCAACGACTGCTGAGAAAAATGGTTGATGCGATGCGGCTTGGTCACGTCATGTTTGGACGCCCCGTGTAGAGCCATGATGAGCCAACACATGGCACCGTGTAAGTCTTCAGTGGTGTTTTGGCAGTGGTGTCAGCGCGTGCCTCGCCGAATCACACTTCGTCTCCTGCTTCGCGCCCAAAGTTCTAAAGAAGGTGGTGAAGGAGATCCTGGACGGGCAGTCTGTGTGGAGGTTGGAACATGGATTGGAGTTGCGGTCAACATTATTGCTGAGGTAAGGTGTTGAAGAGCAAGGTTACCCGGTTGACCGCGTGTTTAAACTGGACTGACCAGTGGCCACTGATTGAAATGTGCGGCGAGCAGTTCAATGAATGGATGAGCGATTTCCAGCAGACTAGTCTCTTTGTGCCAAACATCCCTGCTGCACAAACGGTCACACGTAGGTTGTGGCATCCTGACTCTATCACTGGAGTATCGCGTTGAGCTGGCTCAAGCATTGCCTGCTATCTGACGTTTACCAGTGAACTGTAGGACAGTCTCTCAATAGGCTCAGGCCAATTGATTGAGCTATGTCTCGCAAAGTGCTTGTTCCGCAGCCCAAGTCGCCCACTACCCCAGCGACCAAAGCTCAGGGGCGCAATGTTGAGAGTTTGACACCGTCGAGCGCAACCAATTATTGCTCGGCTCTAGGTCTGCCATTCCAACCCCTGTGGCTTGCAGACCTCCATTGCCTGACCCGCCAGCCGCTTTCGTGGCCGGTTCGGCGTTGCAACGCGCCCACCATTGAGCGGATGCTGCTCTTCGAAAGCATGTAGCGGCCGAACAGGATGATGAGCTGCCGCCTGCAATCTCGGCCCAGCACCCAAGTACTAGTAGGCAGCAAGTTCCAGAAGTCAAGTGCGAGTCCAAGTCATATCGTGAAAGTAGTTTCCTCGCCTCCTGCACCGTCGGAAGCAAGTTGTGACACATCATCGGATTCTGACAATGGTGGCAATCTTGCCACCTGTTGTGTTTGTGGTGGTTCGCGTGATGATTGTGCGGGCATGGAACACGCAGTAGTTGCTCAGAGAATTAACACGTCAGCAAAATGCCCCGGCAGGTGAAGAGCGTTTGGCCCCGCTTTATGCCGGTCTCCGGAGCGAAGAACCAGTTGGCTAGCTAGCTCGCGACCCACACAAGCAGTTGGTGACCGCTGGTTGAAGATATTGTTGTTTCCCGGCTCAACAATTGTTGAGGCGACTGCTGGTGCAGGCCACGCAGAATGGAGAACGCGTGTCGTTGTCAATCGATGGCGCCTGCAAAATATGCCTTCCTGTTCTGGGACAAACAAAGATCAATGTGCCACCCGCTGAGTGAGTGGCTTTTGCTTCAGCAGAAAAAAGGCAGCGCCAACCGCAATTTCAATTCGTGGCATTCCTCATGCGTTGCCTCAAAAGCCACAAAAGCTGCGCCACAAAAGCTGCGCTGCTTGGACGCCAGAACATTGGTTCTTCTACGAAAAAAACCAAAACGAGGCGGCCCCTTTTGCGCCTGAATGCCCTTTCCCGTGCTTTCGACAGCAAAAAGCAAAGTTTGGGACAGTATCACTCCAAGAAACTGAACGGGAAGTTATCTGAGAAGAAGCCTGCTCTCCTCCAGCAACAACAAAGTAGGCTTCTGCAGGTCAACCGTGAGCCCTCCAAACCCCATGAACACCTCATGCCCAAGCCCCTCTTTCACAAAACTGCCAGGAACCCCCTCGCAGCCCCCTCATGAACCCCCCAACTTGCCAGGAATATGAACAGCTGTCGGTTTCCAGTCACCCTGGCATTCCTCTTCGTACCGCTGCTCCAAGCGACAAGATGCTTGTCCACGCGCAATTCCGAATTCTGCACTCTCGCGCCCGCCGCTCAGGTCGTTGGTGGAAGGTCGGCTGCGCTTGCGCGTTTTCATGCAGTTCAAGCAAGCTGTTGGTTGCGGGGGTGATTCCACGCGCATCCCCTTGCACGGTGCGCGGGCCCAGCGTGCGGAGGCTTTGAATCGTAGAACTTATGGACGGACCCTTGCTTGGACGATGACGTTCAGAACAGCCAGCGTGCTCCGTGAACCCTCGCAAGCCTCATGAACCCGTCAGGACCCTCCCGACACACGAGCCAAATCCCTCACAAACCCCTTGCCCACAAGTTTGGGTTGAAGGCCCCAAGCGCCTAAGTTTAAAAAACGAAAGGGTTTGAGGGGCGGAGGGTCGAAGAGCGGCCGCCGCCCCTCTTGGATGCAAAGCGCGAGGAAGTTGACGAAGAAGACGAGGGCTCCAAACAGGGCAAAGCGAGCCAACCGCATTTACAAACCGTAATGAGTTTGCTTTTGGTTTTCTCAAAGCCTTCCTTCAGCCATTGGCCAATTCCCACCCCTCTTGAACTCCCTTGAAAAACCCCTCATGAGCCCTCGGGAATTGTGACATCCGAGAATGTGGCCGAATCCAAAACCTTAGAGGCCGCAATGCCTGAGACCCTGTCACGCACCTGCAAGGTCATGTCCAATGTGTTGCATTCAATGGAAAAAATCCCAAATTGCAGACCACCTTAACATTGATCTTAGCCAGGAAGGCCTGGGTGAGTTCATCCTCGACCCTGTCAAACCCCATGAGCCTCATGCCCCTGCTGAACCCACGAGCAAAAGCCTCCAAGCCCTCGGACGCGCATCCTCCGTCCAAGGACTCCGCCTAGACTCTGTTCTCTGCCACAGCCTGGCGGACGCCGCGCGCGGAGACGAGAGCCGCCGAGACGACGAAGACGGCAAGGACGGGCGCTGCGGGAGCCTAGACCGGCGAATGAAGTTGAAGCCGTCATGAAGGGCGAGGCAATTTCTCAAAGTATACTCCTGCAACTGTGACCAAGTTTAGCTTCATGGCGCCCTAAACCTACTTTCCAATTGCTTAGCCCGTTGCGTTACCCCCCCCCCATCCCGGCTGCCCCTGTTACAACAATCATTGGAGTAGACACTTTGATCGTTGGTAAGGCTTGGGTGAGCCCTCCAACAGGTGTGTCTCAAACCACGGGAGGCTTACGTAACGCAGGTGTTTGCTTGGTTTTACAAATTATGTGATCATCTGTTTTCTTTGGAGGTCTTGGGATGGTGTTCAATGGAAATGGTCTCGTTTCCCGATTTGATAGGGCATGTTTGGGATCGGTGTCGCAATGCGCGACCACGTGCCATGTTGGGCCCGGCCTGTTTGCCATTTTGGGTAGAGTTTGGGCCCCTTTTTCAAAAAAATGTTTGGCTGCGCAAATTCAAACGTTCCTCCACCCTGGCCCCCTTGTAAGTTACAGGCTTCCGTTTTTTAAACCAGTTGTCGCCCAGCAGTGGGCGATGAACGATGAGATCAACGGCCTTCTAAACTAACCCAACCCAACTTGTGGCTGGCAAGGTGTTGTGGGGAGAACAGGTCTTCCTTCGCAGGGAAGGAGGGAATGACCCTTATAAACCATCCCTTGTGGTTTCCTTTAAGGGGACCAAAGCCTGAGTTCATTCCCACATTCCCTACCCATCGCACCAGCAAGATAAAGTGCCGACTTGACTTGTGGGCCCACTTCGGGGAAAAAAACCGCTTAAGTACGGTTTCACTCGGATTCTAGCCAGAAAGTATTGAGTGGGTCCGCTTCGGGAAAAAACAGAAAGTGCGGATTCAAATGGCCAGAAAGTATTGAGGTTGAGCTGAACCTCAACGAGGCGAGGTGTGACGAGGTGTGGTGCTTCAACCGGCCAATTCGGAGTTCGAGGACTCGTGGCGCCAGGGCCTCCACGTGCTGCGCCGAATGGCCGCCGCAGCTCTGCGAGGCGACGCCTTCACGCGCTGCGCCTTTCGGCCCGGCGTCGGAGGGCGACGGATGGGGCCGGATGGGGCTGGTTGGTGCGTTGGTTGGTTGGTTGGTTGGTTGGTTGGTTGGTTGGCTGGTTGGTTGGTTGGTTGGTTGGTCGGTCGGTTAGTGAACTGGGTCAACGTTTGGGACAATTTGAGACATGTTTGCTCAAGAATGAATGAACTGATTTCGATCCAGGTGTTGAATGTCGACAAAGGAGAAAAGTCAGGGGCCCGTTTAAGGGGTTCCAATGTCCAATGGCTTGCGCCAAAGGACGATTGTGCTTGTGTGTGTGTGTGTGTGTGTGTTTCTATGTAGCATCCTAGAACTCAGTTGTCAGAAATCATTTAGGGTCACCAAAAAGAGGACGCATTTGTTAATCGAACTTCAAGGATGGTTTCCCATGCAATCCTGGCTTGTGGCAAATGGTTGCCAAGAAGGCTGTCATACCAAATGGAACAATCTTTGTACAATTCGGATCAACATAGTTCTATGAAACCATTTTTCTTCATGGTCATGGGACAGTCAATTTGTAATTATTTAGCCACTCATATCAAACAACCTGCTTGCCACATCTTTAACAGCGCTGAGGGTTATGAAGGGCCCACGTTCCATTCGGCCGCAAGTCAAAGACAAACCGGAGCGATGATTCTGAAGTCCATGGAAGGAAACTGAAGGACACCTGCAGTGCCAATAGTTTACTCCTCATGATTAGATACGATTTGTTAAGTACCACAACGTCCTGATGAATGAAAGGTTTTTGTTTGGAACGGCTCGGAGCAACGGTCCCCAAGCGGGAAGCGGGAAGTCTCGCTTCAGGTTTCGGCCCATGACCGCTGACCCCGTTCCTAGCTGGCATGCTGTGGGTTTCTGGAGCGGGAGTTCTCAAAAAGCGACTACTTTGACAACTTGATTTTGGGCTAAATGAAGCAAGGCCGAAGGCAGGTCCGTCGGGCAAAGAGAGGGCAACCCGCAAAGGGTTCTAAACTCAAGCTTGGGCAATGAATGGTTTGATTCTTTCCAAAGGGGCTGAAACCAATGTTCGCCCCCTCCCCTTCCGCAATGTTCAACATTTGTTTCTAAAGCCCCTGGAACCCCTGCAAAACTACACATGTTGCTGCTTGGACATGTTCATCCGTGTCCAAGCGGCTGAAGGATACTCGTTTTTGAAGGAGCTGGAAGTAATCCCTTCTTGGCAACCTTTTGCGGGACCTGTTTGGCATACCAGGAGCAAACCAATACCACACTTTTTGCCAATGAGGTCTAAAATGAGGTCTAACAAGGACCTGACGTCCAATCAAGGTCAACAATGGCTGCTTGCATTGCTCTCACCATGTAAAATTATATCCACCTGGTCAAGCTTCCCCCCCCCCCCGCCCCCCCGTCTTGGTTGCGCGGTCCGATTCAGCGAAACCGTGTTGTTGCCCGGAGTTCCCAATTTTGAGACACTCCCATCTCAACATGTTGGAGCGCCAGGCGAGCTTGAACAGGTTCGAACCACCATTGTTTAAGCAACATCCTTTGGGTCAAGGGGCAATGGTGTCTTGCCCCCTGAGTGCAAAGAGAACGGCAGAGTTGCAAGGTCAAACCAAACGTGTTTTTTTTTTCCCGCCCAAAAGCAAGCGGGGGATCAAACACAAGGAGAGGAGCCAAACAAATAATGGGGTCAAACAAAAGGAGGAGGTAAAACAAAGGAGGGGCTCAAAGGAGGGGCTCAACCAAAATCATGTCGGGATTTCAAAAAGGAGGGGGGCGGGGGGGCTCAGCCACAAAAAGTGGGTTCAAAAACAAGGAGGGGGTAAGGCAAAGGAGGGGCTCAAACAAAGAAGGTCAAAAAAGCGGTCCATCTTGGGCCACGAATTCATTTTGATCGATGCGCTTAAGGTGGGGATGAAAGCCTCAGATTGGCGCCGGGGCTTCCTGTTGCTTGAGGACCTGCAGAAATGCCGGGGGTGGATGGTCCAGATGGGCGCGCCGTCTTTTGCGGGGATTCTTCTCTGGGGCGGTTTTAGACGCAAACCAAACAGTCGTTTTGAGGGTTCCCCCATTTTGAGACATACCCAAATTGTGCACCAGTGGGGATGGATAAAGCTGTTTGAATGGCGGGATAAGCCACCTAAGTGTCGCAGGAACATGTCCAGTCATGGCGGTCGAAGTTCCACCAGAGACACTTTTTCCAATACCCTCGAAGGAAGAATTGGTGGTTTCCCCACCCAAGCCGTTGTTGAGGCCCTTACCAAGGCCCCTCTTAGGGAATCCAATTGGGGGATGGTCGTGGACCTCGTTGTTTTTTGTGGCCGGGGGAAGGACGGGATTAGACACCTAGTGCAAGTGCTTCTGCTAAGGGAAGTCTGTCACTCAGGCGACCACCAGCATGCCGCTTGTAGCAACGCATGATTTGAGTTTCGCTCAAATTGCCTGTCAGCGTATGGTCGAATTGGGGTGCGTGTCGGTGTGACAACTGCAAGAAACCCTTTTGATTCTTTACCATGCGTGATGGATAGACTCCTTCACCAGGTTTTGCTTATAACTTATGGTTCACATAGCCATTTTGCTCGAGGTTGAAATTGGGACTTTAGACAATGGCAAGGCTTGCTGTGAAGGGAACCACCAGGCGGGAGTTGGGTAGTCTTCAGGTTAGCAAGTTTTCGATTGTGACCTGAGTCTGAGCATATTGCCATCCAAAGCGTGCCTCACTCGTAAGCATTCCTCTGGAGGGAATGACATGGACCACGCTGAGTTTCGTTGGAACCTCATGCGAGCTTCACTTATGTTCTTTTTACATAGTATTCCATAGTCAGTCTGAGAGGGACGTAGGGTTGCTCGTAGGGTAACTTGTTAAATGTCCCATCAAACAACAAACAACTCACTGAATGTTCCAGGTTCTTTCCGCGAAATATATGGGCGAAATACTTGCCCACTATGATCATGTCGGAATTTCCCTTCCCCCCCCCCCCCACAAAAAACATACACGTCTTCTGGTTCTCAGGGGTGCCCTGGGCTCCTCAAGGAACGGGGAGGTTGACCAGTTGACCCCTGGAGTGGCTAGAGGGTGGGTCTACCGTCTTGTTGTCATTTGGGTAAGGCCTGTAACCGTGGTAGAACTAAAAGTCGGTGAAGATGCACCCCCCGAAAATAGCTGGTTTCCTCTATTAAAAAATGCTACTCCCCCTGAATAAAAAGGTTTTTGGCCAGAACTCAGGTTTTTGGCCAGACTGGGAAACTCTGAACTGAATTAACGCCATGCAAAGTCCAGCAGAAGTTAAGCTCAACGTTCAACTGCTCCAAGTTCAACAGCCAAGTCACTTTGTCGTGCGCGATTTGCACTTCAAGGCAGATTGGAGTATGCGAAGTGCACTTTGGCAGCTGCTCAAACGGCGCAACTTTTCAGCACAAGAGTGGTACAAGTATGCCCTGGCAGCTTCGTCGTGCCTGTAACAGCTCTGTTATGTGGTTTTATTCTCTTTGTTTAGCAAATCATCCACTTGGGGGAAAGGAATTCAATCCTACCTGCCTCTGACATCCAAATCAAACTTCATGTCCTTGCGCAGTTGCATTCACATGTTAATTCAGAATTCCATAGTTCCATATACATTCTAACTAAGTGGTTTAGGTCAAAGTTGCAAAGCAGCTATCTCATTTGTGTGTTATTTGTTTAATACTATTCAGTCATTGCCAATAACAACTATGCACTTCAATTTTAGGAAGGATATCCAAGTTAACACGCTTTCGACTTTCACCGGTTGCAGTTTCTTGTGCATTTCAAAAAACAACTGGAACACACAGCTATTATCACGGCCAGTTAAAACTCGAATGAAACTCAATTTCATACGGGTTATTGCCTTTATCTAGCTCCATATGGTTTTAGCCAAGCAAGAACTGAGCCAAGCCAATAACAACAAAGTGGTTTCATCTAGTCCCAATTATTGGCAGTATATGCGGTAAAACGCGGTGTTTTCAGCATTCTCTCAGATCATGTTGCCCTGGACCGACGCCGACTATTCAAGAATCCACCTTTTCTAGACTCTTTCCGGTTTTCCCACCGGCATTGTGAAGATTGAAGATCAGACCTCCCAGATTGAGAATCGTCCATCTTGGCCAGCCCTCAAGTCCCCAAAAAACTGTAAAGTGTTCAAAATCATGTTTTCTCCCTGGCAAAATGCAGGCGGTGCACATCCACAATTTGATTCTGGGAATCTGAATTTGGGATTCTTCAAATCCATGCGTGGGCAATGCAGGATCTGCTAGCAAATCCAGGATTGAAGATTGAAGGTTCTCTGACAACTCTTTCTGGGATTTTTCCAAACCTGTACTCCTGGATTGAAGATTTGAGATTGAAGATTGTCAGACCACTTTTCTGGAAATCTTCAAATCCATACTTAGGACAAACTAATATGTGCTAGCGTGTGCTAGCACATCCTGGTTTGCCTTAAGTACAGATTTGAAGAATCCCAGAAAGAGTTGTAGGAGAATCTTCGATCTTGAAACTTCAATCCAGGATGTGCTGCCACACATCCTGGATTCCAGTCTAAGCAAAAGGAGTGCATTTTTAGAGCATCGTTTGTAGAAGCTGGAAAGTGCATTTTACATGCTTACAGCAACATCCTCTAACAACCTGAGTATTCCAGGGGGGAGTCCCATTTTTTCAATAAATATGTATGTATGTGTATATATGTATATATATATATATGTATATATACACAGACTAGTGTGTTTACTCGAAAATCCCGGGGTCTCGTTTTCCCCGTTTCTTCGTGGTGACTCGAGGACCACCCGGTGGTCCTGCGCGCCGCGCTGGCCAGGAGTCCCTGGTCTCGCGCCGGCGCTCTGATGGCGCGGCTGGACATGGTCTCGGCGGGCCAGAGGCGGGAACTCGGGGCTCTGGAATTCAGGTTTCCTCACGTGGGTGTGGCTCAAAATTAGAGAGTTAAGGGCAAACCGCAGAGTTTTAGTCTTTGGTTCCATTTATCAAGGTGCCATTTTGGTACATTTCTTTGAGCCACAGCGACATGGAGGTTTACATGACTCCACCTACTCACATGGAGGTTTACCTCATTTTGACTCCACCTCATGTTGAATTCATGTTGGACTTTCAGGTTTACTCACATGGACCTGAATCTAGTCGCCTGATTGTTGTTTCGAGGCACGGGCGGAGGTAGAAACATGGCTCGGCTAAGAAGTGTTCCCCAGGCAGTTCTGCGGGAAGCTGGCCACGCACCTCCCACATACCACGCTGTGGCTCAAAAAGATGCACCAAGAGAACACTTTGGTAAATGGAACCAAAGACTCAAACCTGCGGTTTGCCCTGGGTGGGTTTCCCTTGAACTCCCCAGAAACCATGTCCCCCCAGAAAGGGCCCGGAAAAACAAGGAACACATAAAAACGAAAAAAGAGAAAGACAAAAAAGGACACTCGAGACGGTTTTTGGCCGCTTCGGCCGCTTTCGGATTGGCCGAACCTCAGGCTGGCGCCCCACGGGGCGAGCTTCAGCTCCGCCATCAGCGCCTGCCGGGAGATGCCGCAGGATGGGGCGGGTGGGGTGGGTGGTGACCCTTGCCAGGCCACGCGGCCGAATTTGGAATAGATAAGTGGTTCATGACCACATGGATCCATGGCAAGGGTTAATATAGTGGGCTAAATAATTGATGTGGGTGTGTCTTGTTTTGAGGGTAACCCATTTTAATTGGTTTTTCAGGAACACCAACAGGACACCGAAGCCATTTTAGGGGTCCCCCAAAAAGATGGCGCCCTTTGGAAGTCCCTAGTCCCACTTCATTGCGATCTGGTTCATGGCTCAGAGCTCCTAAGTAGAAAAGCCCCAATATGGTGTCCTTTTTAGGTTAGTTTGGCTAGAAATAGATGTTTGTTTAGAACTAGATGGCGCCTTTTCCATTTACCAGGGCCATCTATTTTTGTCCAAAGGTGACCTTCAAATGTTCGGGTGACCCCCTGAACCATAGTTGTCAGAAACAGGGTAGGGCTATAAAGTCATCTTGAAAGTGAGAACGTGGGTGGATCCTTTTGGTTTCCCTTTAAACATAAAGAGAAACCTCCCCCTCTCCCTCTCTCCATCCCTCCATCCAGCCACGCACCCACCTACCAACCCACCCTCGCACCCAATCCATCCATCCCACATTCCATCCCAGCCCAGCCCAGCCCAGCCCAGCCAGCCCAGCCAGCCCAGCATTCCCATCCCATCCCATCCCATCCCATCCCATCCCATCCCATCCCATCCCATCCCATCCCATCCCATCCCATCCCATCCCATCCCATCCCAGTGCTTAATTTACTCTCTGAGTTCCTGGAGTTTTGGCTTTTGGGGAAGATCATGTTGGAAAACACAAAGTCTGGGCGTTTTTTGGCCCATCAACTCAGGAAGTGAGGAAGTGTTTAACATGTCTTGCCAAATGGTGGGGCATAATTTTGATCCAACAGTGCGTCCCAAAAAAAGGACCACACCCAATCCTTGGCATGGACCCTAGGTCTGCGAGCAACGTGGTAAAAGCGCTGGACAAGATTGTGGGGTCCAAATTGGTCGGTGGTTGTTGAGAGTACCCTTGTCAGGTGGGGTTAAGCAGAATTCAACCGGAAACCTGGCCCTTGTTGGGGTCTTGCAGTTTTTTTTTGTCACGTATCCAAATAGTCAAAACCCGTGCGGTGGACGAAACAAAATCAGTTAGACACGCCGGGTTAATACTTAGACACATTGAGTTTACATGTCTATTGTCGTGGTCGATGTGCGAAAACTGTTTCGATTTCTGATTTGCTTGCGCAGCCCTGATTATCTCTTCCCATTTGGTGGTGAAGTCATCGCTTTTGGTGGATGGTTGCAACTATAGCAGAGTTCTGTGCTGGCTTAGGGCTTTCTAAGCGCAATCCCACGCCCACAGCTAACGCCCAACAACCGCCAAACAACAACCCAGCAGCCAACAGCTAACAACTAGCCGGCAACAGTCAACGGGCAAAAGTTGACCGTCAACCTAAAGAAGGGAGTGGACGGGACATAGAAGCGGCTTTAGAAAGGCCCATCCCATCCCTCCCACCTCGCCCCCCCGCCCCGCCCCGCCCCGCCCCGCCCCAACCCAACCCAACCCAACCCAACCCAACCCCACCCCACCCCACCCCACCCCACCCCACCCCACCCCAACCCAACCCAACCCAACCCAACCCAACCCCACCCCACCCCACCCCACCCCACCCCAACTTAACCCAACCCAACCCAACCCCACCCCACCCCACCCCACCCCACCCCACCCCCAACCCAACCCAACCCCACCCCACCCCACCCCACCCCAACCCAACCCAACCCAACCCAACCCCACCCCACCCCACCCCACCCCACTGCAGCTCGAGGGCTGGCAGAGAGCACTGTGGCTGCTGGCGCAGGCGGCGGAGGCTGAGGTCTGGAGAACTCGTCTGAATGGCTGACTGTGGGTTTGTCTCACAAGAATCGGACCCCCCCAAAAAAACAAACCACAATAACCCCAGCTAAAATTACCCCGGCACGAGACCCCAAACAGTGATAGGCGGCGGTCACACGCTGCAGAGTATTGTGCGGGCTGCGCCGCAAAACGGCGGTTGTTGTCAGGAAGCTGCAACATCATTTTGCGGTATTTGCGCGCACATTCACAAAGACAAGGACACGGCCTGGAACAGACACGCGCAAGAGAATGCAGCAGACACGTGTCGAAGCCAGCGCCATGGTCGTGTGTGCGTGTGTTTGTGCGTGTGTGTGTGTGTGTGTGTGTGTGTGCGTGTGTGTGTGTAAGCATCACTACAAAAGGCAAGATCTGTGTGTTTGTTTCACCAGAGTGCCTGAGTTAGTGAGTTAGCTAGCTAGGTAGCTTCTTCCTTTGTTCTCGATTGTGGCGCTGTTGCTGTTGCTGTTGCTGTTTTTGGGTGTTGTTGTTCAGAGTACCATCGAGACGCCGTCGCAGCACAGAAGCACCATCCAAGCATGCCCAAAGAAAGGGAAACAAGCTCGCGCGGACAGGGCGGGAATCGAGCCCGGGACCTTTCGCCGGAAACCCGTGCCGCCGGACCACGAGACAAAACCCCCACGGTCCCCGGAGCCGCCAAAAAAGCAAAAAAATCGAGTTTGTGCGAGCCTGCGCAGTCGAAACGCACTTCAACATCAAGCAAGAGCAAGAATCTGCGGTAAATACCACGCGAAACGCTCGCGGACAGAAGTCGCCAACTCACTTTGTGCGAGCCTGCGCAATTGAAACGCATTTCAACATCAAGCAAAAGCACGAATCTGCGGTAAATACCACGCAAAACGCTCGCGGCCAGAAGTCGCCAACTCACTTTGTGCGAGCCTGCGCAGTCAAAACGCACTTCGACATCAAGCAAGAGCACGAATCTGCGGTAAATACCACGCAAAACGCTCGCGGCCAGAAGTCGCCAACTCACTTTGTGCGAGCCTGCGCAGTCAAAACGCACTTCGACATCAAGCAAGAGCACGAATCTGCGGTAAATACCACGCAAAACGCTCGCGGCCAGAGCGGGCACCTCAATCTGGCACCAAGGCCTTTTCTCTTACCGTAAGAACCCCTTAGTGTAGACACACTGTTTGGGGAAAAAAGCCAAAAAAACGCTGGGGAATGCTCACTCTTGCGGAGAAAGGAAGGGTCCTGAACTTCCACTGTTGCGGGCATGTTTGTAAGTTTTTGGTGGGGCTGCAACAACACGTTTAGCTACCACACCAAGGGTTGGAAAGCTCCCTTCGCCCAGAAATTTAAAAAATGGACTTTAGATCTGGGATTGGGGGTGGGGGATTGCGAGCGCTGGATTTGCATTTCTAGTTCCATTTCCTGACTGGGACGACTAGAGCATGAAATTAACCACTCCTTTTCAGACAGCAAAAGGACTTCGATACTGACAACCTTTGATGAAAAACCGCCACAAATAAGGATTTGTCCAGAACAAGTTGTTGGCCCCCGTGACGTTGCTGATGTCGCGCTGCCTTTAAAAGTTGCCCCTAAAAGTGGCCAAAGAGGTTTCCTCGGAGGCCCGCAGCTGGCAAGATAACAGTCGCTGTCTGATGCGTTGCCTCAATCTGACGGGGATGTGTCAGAATAGAACCAACCTACCACCCAACCTCCCCCAACTTCCCCAACTTCCCCAACTTCCCCAACTTCCCCAACTTCCCCCAATCCCCCCCCCCCCCCAAAAGAAACATTACCACCTCACCAGAGCTACGCCAGAAGCACTACCCAAAACTCTGGGGTCTCTAACCTTTGCACCTATTTAAGTTGATTCCTTACAGAGCACTATGTATGCTATCCATGCTATCCCCCCTCAACCCAACAACCACCCTCGCCAGAGAGAGCCCTGCCCCCTCCCTCCCCCCTCCCCCCCTCCCCCCCCCCGCATTTGCGCCAGGCGGCGAGCTTCGTGCCGCGCGCGGCGGCCCTGGGCTGCTGCGAGGCACAGCTCCGCTGGCGAGAGGCCGCGGAGCTGCTGACGGACCCGGACCCCAGCCGCGCGGTCAGAGCGCGCGGAAGCGGCGGGGAGACGGAGGCGGTGGGGACCAGGTGCCCCAGCAATTGGTGCCAACTTTTACCGTTTCTTTTTCGGGGGGAGGGGAACCCTACTAAAATAGACTACAGAAAAAAAATGGTACCCTTATTCTAACCTAGGGAAGGTTCCTGTGGCTGGTGGTAGGTTTGGTAGAGCTAGGTTTTGGGGTTTTTGAGTTGGTGGAGCTTGATATTTGGAGGCGTTGGTGGGCTTGGAGATTTTGGAGTGGGCCTTGCTTTTTATGGAGTTGAAGCAAGGCCCATGGTAACACTGGACACAAAAGCCTTTGCTGCTTCAGTTTGATTTTGGCGTTTGAGGTTCTTTCTCCAACTTATATTTAAGGTCTTGGATTTGACCTGGTTTAGGTTTGTGTGGCCGGTTTTTATTTCCGTTTGGGTTTGTTTGATTGGCACTACCCTCGCAAAGACGGGGCATTCGATTGGTTCGCTCCCCTTCCGTTTTTTGGTTGGGGTTGTTGGTGTTTTTTGACTGGCCTGGTCTGGTTTATATCTTGACGTCAGACTTTGAGCACCAGCCCGGCCCAGATGTTTGTCAAATGACTCATTTTATTTGGTTGATATACATACATATATAGATAAATTAACTATTATATATATACATGTATGTATATATATACATATATATATATATATATGTATATATGTATATATATATATATATATATACATATGTGTATATGTCTGGCCCGGCAAACGTGGAGACATGAACAAGTGCAGATGGTTCTCGTGCATATACAAGTGCCAAGCCACGCGATGAAAGGCACCATTGGAAAGGCAGCAGCGAGCACAGATTCCTGGCACCATCAGTAGCTAGTTTTTCCGGGAGCCGACCGTGCAACGGCCGTTGCAGTTTGTGAACCCGCCTGTCAGGTTTGGGGTTGTAAGATCTTAAGTGAGATCGGCAGAACTGACCTCGGCCTATGGCTCTATAGCTGTCACAGAAAAAAGACTGCTGATGAAAGCGAAGGTAGCCCGAACTGAAGGAATGGTTTCCCTTTTCTTTGAGTATTGCACTGAAAGCATGCTGCTCCTTTTTTGGATGGCTGAAGAATATGACCTTTAAAGGGGCCTTTCGTTTTTTGCATCGGTCCCGTCCCCAAATGTCCTTCCGTTGCTCCAAGGCACACTGCGGTCCGCGCTGGCGGCGTGCGGTGCCAATTGGGTTGCGGCCTTGGCAATGCTGATGGGTGCTAAGGCGGCGGCGCGCCGTGGCAAAGGGAAGTTGAGAGATGGGGAGGCCGCTCTCGCGGCCGTGGTTTGTTCTCACTTCCGTTCGTGGACTTCAGTCACTTTTACGGGGTTGGACTATTTTGGTGAACAAAAACCGTGGACTTTTTTTTGGCCAATCTTCTCAGGAAGTGAGTTTTTTTGGTTCGTTTCGGACAACTCTTGCGGTCTGTGCCATAGGCTCTATTGGTGTGTGCTGTGTATATATATATATATATGATTCAAATGATATTTATGTTCTATTTTGCCTTACCCTGCGTTTTCTTTTATCATGCTTTCAAGACAGCAACTGTGGGAGGGTACCTGAAAGATCGATTTCGTCTAGGAGGGACCCCCCATAAGAGGGAAAAGCTAGGTCCATTTGACGGGCAGGAGTTTTTTTTTTTTTTTTTTTTTTTTTTTTTTAATATTTAAATGATTTGGGTGCTGAATATTAAAATGAATTTAATGAATTTAATGTTTCAGAAGGCTAAACACATTAAAATCATTAAATTCATTAAAACCATTTAAATGAATTTAATGATTTTAATGTTTCAGAAGGCTAAACACATGAAAAAACACATTTAAATGAACCTAATGATTTGAATGTTTCAAAGGCCCAAAACATGAAACATCATTAAAACCATTAAATTCCAGGAGTTTGCCTAAGCATTGAAATCACTAAAATCATTCGGAGATTCCCAAAAGGCACCCGTCCCTTTGGGAAGAATGATCATAAGAAGTAGAATAGCTAGACTAGACCATGAATCTGGAGTTCCTCAAAAGGGACCCGTCCCGTTGGGAATAATTAGCATAATTCGGGTAATTCCCAAAAGACAAAAATATATTAAGTAGAATAATTAGAGAGAACATGAATCTGAAATTCCCTAAATTTGGGAGTGAAGAATTGAACAAAAAAGAATCTGGAATTCCCGTCCCTTTGGCAATGAGAAGAATACATAAACAATTATCAGAAGCAGAATTACTAGAGCCACAACAGTTCAACATAAATCTGGACTCCCCAAAAGGCACCCGCCCCTCTTGGAATAAGTAGAATAATAGAACAGCTATGATAAGTAGACTAATTTGCAAGACATGAATCTTCAATTCCCAAAGGCACCTGTGCCTTTGGGAAAAACAACGAACATAGCGCGGTTAGAATCACTTTAGTAATTAGCACACACTCAAGTTTGGAAATTCCCAAAAGGCACCCGTCCCTTTGGGAGGAATGATCATAAGAAGTAGAATAGTCTAGCAGAAAGTGAATTCGGAATTCCTCAAAAGGGACTCGTCCCGCTGGGATTGATTGGAAAAGTTTCCCAAATTGGAAAATATCTGAAGTAGAATAATTAGAGAGAACATGAGTCTGAAGTTCACCAAATTCGGGAATGAAGAGTTGGAAAAGAAAGACCGTGGAATTCCCTCAAGGCACCCGTCCCAAAGGAATGACAAGAATAATTGGAGGATGTAAATGGCACTCGTCTCTTGTGGAGTAATTAGCATACCAGGAACAAACACTGGCTTGGAATTCACCAAAAGGCACCTGCCCCTGTGTGAGTAAGAAAGTTATCTAGAAAAAAACACAGAAATAACATTATTGGAACAAACATGAATCTGGAGGTCCCCAAAAGGAACCCGTCCTCCTCATTGAGGAATTCAAGATTCATGTTCGCTAACTATTCTACTTATCAGAACTCTGTTCATTCTTCTCATTATCCCCAAAGGGACGGGTGACTTTTGGGGAATTCAAGAATCTTGTTTGCTAATTTGTCTACTTATCATACTTTTTTATTCTAATTAATCCATAGGGGGCGGGGTTCCTTTGGGGAATTCCACGCGCTTTGTTGCCCTGGGTAAAACCCTTATTTCACAAGGGATGGGGCTTGTTGGTGAATTCGAGATTCATTGTCCCGCGTTGCTCAAAATATTCGCACAATTCCCAAATGAACAGCTCCCAATTAGTGAGTTTCAGATTGCTTTCCTACTTATTCGAATTGGTCCCAGACAGGTGGGTGCCTTGTGGTGAATTCAAGACTCCCGTTTGCTAATTCTTATAATTATCATCAGTCTTCTAAATATGATTATTATTCCCAAAGGGACAGATGCCTTTGGGGAATTGAAGCTTGTTTTGGCAAATGGTTCTACTTGTCATAACTATTCTACTCGTTTTGCTTATTTCTAACCAGAATACTTTTAATAATTTGCATAATTGGAACAGCCATGAATCTGGAATGCGCCCAAAGGCACCCGTCCTTTCGAATAGGCAGAGAAATTATAATCACTATGATTCACCGGGGTAAATATGGAAACACATGAATCTGGAATTGGAGCTCCCACAAAGGCACACGTCCCCTTGGGACTTGAAAACAACACATAGAACAATTGCAAAAAGAAAAACACATGAATCTGGAATCCCCAAAAGGCACCGCCCCCCACCCGGAATCAGTAGAACAACTAGAATAGCTATGATAAGTAGACTAACTTGCAACACATGAATCTTCAATTCCCCAAGGGCACCCGTCCCTTTGGAAACAATTAGAAACATGAAATAACTAGAAGAACAATTAGAACAAACATAAATTTGGGGGTTCCCAGAAGGCACCCGTCCCTTTGGGGGAAGAATAATTAGAAGAAGTAGAGTAGCTAGACTAGAAAATTAATCTGGAATTCCTCAAAAGGGACCCGTCCTGTTGGGAATCAGTAAATAAATTCCTGAAAATCCCCAAATTACAAAATAGCTTAAGTAGGATACTTAGAGAGAACATGAACCAGACATTCCCCAATAGTTGGAACAGAAAGAATCTGGAATTCCCCTCCCAAGGCAACCGTCCCAAAAGGAATGACAACGAAGTAAAAGGCATCACTCATCCCTGGCGTGCTAAATAGTGTACTTAGAACCAAGAACTGGCCCGGAATTCCCCAACAGGCACCCGTCCCTTTGGGAGTAATCATAACAATATTTGGAAGACTGATGCAACTTAGAATAAGGAGGAACGTTTAGTCTTGAATTTACCAAAAGGCACCCACCTGTTTGGGACCAATTCGAAAAGTTAGGAAAGGAATCTGAAACTCACTAGTTGGGAGCTGTTCATTTAGGAATTGCTCGAATAAGTTGATCAATGCGGGAAAATGAATCTTGAATTCACCGACAAGCCCCATCCCTTGTGAAATAAGGGTTATACCCAGGGCAACAAAGGCCGTGGAATTCCCCAAAGGCACCCCCGCCCTCTATGGATTAAGTAGAGTAGTTAGGATAATCATGATAAGTAGACAAATTAGCAAACAGGACTCTTGAATTCCTCAAAAGGCACCCCCCTTTTTGGAATAACTATAATACATACATAAAATTGAATAATTGCAACACACATGAATCTGGAATTCTCCCAGTCCCTCTGGGAAGAAGGTAGAATTATTGAAACAAATAGAATAATTATGATCAGTAGGCTAATTAGCCAACATGGATCCTGGATTGCTCTAGACGCACCTGCCCCTTTGGCAAGACTTCGAATAGTTTGAGTAGCTTGAATGATTGGAGCAAACATGTGCCTGGAATTGGAACTCCCCAAAAGGTACCTGTCCCCTTGGGACTTGAACATATTACATAGAACAATTGCCAGAAGTAGAATCACCAGAAAGAAAAACACATGAATCTGGAATCCCCCAAAAGGCACACACACACACCCCACCCGGAATAACTTGAACAATTGGAGTATCTAAGATAAGTAGACTAATTTGCAAAACATGAACCTTCAATTTCCCAAAGGCGCCCGTCCCTTTAGGAATAATTAACAAAATGGGACAGTTCGAATAACTAGAATAACTAGAGCAAAGATAAATTTGGAGATTCCCAAAAGGCACCCGTCCCTTTGGTTAGAATAATTATCAGAAGCAGAATAGCTAAGCTAGAAAGTTAATCTGGAATTCCTCAAGAGCGACCCGCCCCGTTGGGAATAATTAAAATAACTCGGACATTTCAAAAAAGAGAACATATCTTAAGTAGACAAAGTAAAGAGGATATGAATCTGACATTCCTCAAATTTGGGAAGAAGGAGTTGTACAGTTTAAAACAAAAAACTGTTTTATCTGCCAATGTGTCCTCGCAAGAGCAACAATTGGTACAAACACATGTGCCCGTCAAATGAACCTGACTTTTCCCTGCCACAGGGACCCCCCTGTGAGGTGTCAGTACTCTGTTAACGTTGGCCAATTTCTATTTCCTATTTTGCACAACCTGCTGAGATCAGCCTTCATAACAAGGTTGGATTGGAACCAAACGCCAATGCAGGACATTTTGCCCAAAGATCACTTACCATCCAACAGGCCCATCAGTGAGGATTGCCAGTTTTATTGAGGTGCTTCCCCCTTCCCCGGTGTCACCCTGTGACCAAAGCGCGGTGTCGCGGTCCGCCAGCGAGGCGCGGGGTGGAGGGCTGGCGCGCGCTGCTGTGGTCTTGCGAGGCGGCGAGCGCCTGGCCGGCGGCCGTGGCGTTGATCGAGCGAGCGGAGCGGAGCGAGGTGGACGAGCCCTGCGGCTCGGCGAGGCGGAAGTGAGGGAGAGGTAGGTTACACCCATCTTTGGTTCAGATACCCATCTTTGGTTCAGATACCCATCTTTGGTTCAGATACCCATCTTTGGTTCAGATGCCAATCTTTGGTTCAGATACCCATCTTTGGTTCAGATACCCATCATTGGTTCAGATGCCAATCTTTGGTTCAGATACCCATCTTTGGTTCAGATACCCATCTTTGGTTCAGATGCCAATCTTTGGTTCAGATACCCATCTTTGGTTCAGATACCCATCTTTGGTTCAGATACCCATCTTTGGTTCAGATACCCATCTTTGGTTCAGATACCCATCTTTGGTTCAGATGCCAATCTTTGGTTCAGATACCCATCTTTGGTTCAGATACCCATCTTTGGTTCAGATACCCATCTTTGGTTCAGATACCCATCTTTGGTTCAGATGCCAATCTTTGGTTCAGATACCCATCTTTGGTTCAGATACCCATCTTTGGTTCTTACCCATCTTTGGTCTTACCAGGTTCAGATACCCATCTTTGGTTCAGATACCCATCTAGTTCAGATACTCTTTGGTTCAGATACCCATCTTTGGTTCAGATACCCATCTTTGGTTCAGATACCCATCTTTGGTTCAGATGCCAATCTTTGGTTCAGATACCCATCTTTGGTTCAGATACCCATCTTGGTTCAGATGGGTTCAGATACCCATCTTTGGTTCAGATACCCATCTTTGGTTCAGATGCCAATCTTTGGGTTCAGATACCCATCTTTGGTTCAGATACCCATCTTTGGTTCAGATACCCATCTTTGGTTCAGATACCCATCTTTGGTTCAGATACCCATCTTTGGTTCAGATACCCATCTTTGGTTCAGATACCCATCTTTGCTGGTTCAGATACCCATCTTTGGTTCAGATACCCATCTTTGGTTCAGATACCCATCTTTGGTTCCCAATCTTTGGTTCAGATACCCATCTTTGGTTCAGATACCCATCTTTGGTTCAGATACCCATCTTTGGTTCAGATACCCATCTTTGGTTCAGATACCCATCTTTGGTTCAGATACCCATCTTTGGTTCAGATGCCAATCTTTGGTTCAGATACCCATGTTTGGTTCAGATACCCATCTTTGGTTCAGATGCCCATCTTTGGTTCAGATACCCATCTTTGGTTCAGATGCCAATCTTTGGTTCAGATACCCATCTTTGGTTCAGATACCCATCTTTGGTTCAGATACCAATCTTTGGTTCAGATGCCAATCTTTGGTTCAGATACCCATCTTTGGTTTAGATACCCATCTTTGGTTCAGATGCCAATCTTTGGTTCAGATACCCATCTTTGGTTCAGATACCCATCTTTGGTTCAGATACCCATCTTCGGTTCAGATACCCGTCTTTGGTTTTGATGCCCATCTTTGGTTCAGATACCCATCTTTGGTTCAGATGCCCATCTTTGGTTCAGATAACCATCTTTGGTTCAGATACACATCTTTGGTTCAGATACCCATCTTTGGTTCAGATACCCATCTTTGGTTCAGATGCCCATCTTTGGTTCAGATACCCATCTTTGGTTCAGATACCCATCTTTGGTTGGTTCAGATACCCATCTTTGGTTCAGATGCCCATCTTTGGTTCAGATACCCATCTTTGGTTCAGATACCCATCTTTGGTTCAGATACCCATCTTTGGTTCAGATACCCATCTTTGGTTCAGATACCCATCTTTGGTTCAGATACCCATCTTTGGTTCAGATACCCATGTTTGGTTCAGATGCCCATCTTTGGTTCAGATACCCATCTTTTGTTCAGATACCCATCTTTGGTTCAGATTCCCATCTTTGGTTCAGATACCCATCTTTGGTTCAGATGCCCATCTTTGGTTCAGATGCCCATCTTTGGTTCAGATGCCCATCTTTGGTTCAGATACCCATCTTATCTTTGGTTCAGATGCCCATCTTTGGTTCAGATACCCATCTTTGGTTCAGATGCCCATCTTTGGTTCAGATACCCATCTTTGGTTCAGATGCCCATCTTTGGTCCAGATACCCATCTTTGGTTCAGATACCCATCTTTGGTTCGGATGCCCATCTTTGGTTCAGATACCCATCTTTGGTTCAGGTACCCATCTTTGGTTCAGATACCCATCTTTGGTTCAGATGCCCATCTTTGCTTCAGATACCCATCTTTGGTTCAGATGCCCATCTTTGGTTCAGATACCCATCTTTGGTTCAGATGCCCATCTTTGGTTCAGATACCCATCTTTGGTTCAGATACCCATCTTTGGTTCAGATACCCATCTTTGGTTCAGATGCCCATCTTTGGTTCAGATACCCATCTTTGGTTCAGATACCCATCTTTGGTTCAGATGCCCATGTTTGGTTCAGATGCCCATCTTTGGTCCAGATGCCCATCTTTGGTTCAGATGCCCATCTTTGGTTCAGATGCCCATCTTTGGTTCAGATACCCATCTTTGGTTCAGATACCCATGTTTGGTTCAGATACCCATCTTTGGTTCAGATACCCATCTTTGGTTCAGATACCCATCTTTGGTTCAGATACCCATCTTTGGTTCAGATACCCATCTTTGGTTCAGATGCCCATCTTTGGTTCAGATACCCATCTTTGGTTCAGATACCCAGCTTTGGTTCAGATACCCATCTTTGGTTCAGATACCCATCTTTGGTTCAGATACCCATCTTTGGTTCAGATACCCATCTTTGGTTCAGATACCCATCTTTGGTTCAGATACCCATGTCTGGTTCAGATACCTATCTTTGGTTCAGATACCCATCTTTGGTTCAGATACCCATCTTTGGTTCAGATGCCCATCTTTGGTTCAGATACCCATCTTTGGTTCAGATGCCCATCTTTGGTTCAGATGCCCATCTTTGGTTCAGATGCCCATGTTTGGTTCAGATGCCCATCTTTGGTTCAGATGCCAATCTTTGGTTCAGATACCCATCTTTGGTTCAGATACCCATCTTTGGTTCAGATACCTATCTTTGGTTCAGATACCCATCTTTGGTTCAGATACCCATCTTTGGTTCAGATACCCATCTTTGGTTCAGATACCCATCTCTGGTTCAGATACCCATCTTTGGTTCAGATACCCATCTTTGGTTCAGATACCCATCTTTGGTTCAGATACCCATCTTTGGTTCAGATACCCATCTTTGGTTCAGATACCCATCTTTGGTTCAGATACCCATCTTTGGTTCAGATACCCATCTTTGGTCCAGATACCCATCTTCGGTTCAGATACCCATCTTTGGTTCAGATACCCATCTTTGGTTCAGATACCCATCTTTGGTTCAGATACCCATCTTTGGATCATTTTTTCCCACCTTATTTGACACACAGATTCGTTGTTTTGTTGGTTTGGAGTGGTTGGGGATTGAAGCTCTGGTTCTTGAAGGCAAACCGGCTGCCAACCAACGGGCTCTACCATGCAGTGTTTCTTCTTTCGGTATGAAGGAAGTACTGAACCAGGGCCTGAATCATTGGAACGGCGGGTGTGGAGTACCTCAACACAATTTAAGTCATGATCATGGAAAACTATGGGTAATTATTTAGGCCCTTATATCATAGTTGGACCTTGAAAATAGATGGGGGCAAGAGAAAGCATGGGCATCCCTTTTGAACTTCAGGGATGCCTAAAGGAACTCCCAATTTTGACTGCTTCCCATTTGGAAGTGGTCTTGCTCATGTTTTAAGATCATTTCCTTTGGTTTCCCTTCGGGAGGGGTCCCAAATATTTCTGGAGGTCGGTGTTTCCGAAGGGATCCAATGGTATCCTGGACATTGCTTCAGCCTCGGGTTTCCTTTGGGATATCTTATCATTCGCATCCCATTGGGACGGTTCATTCCCAAGAGCCCACGAGCTATTCAAATTGGGTTTGTTAGTTCTGGCAAAAGATCATACAGTTGGGTGTCCTTTTTCAGGGGAACCCCTCAAAAAGGCATCAATATCTTTTGGTTCCCCCCCCAAAAAAACCGCAATGATGATAATGATTAATAATAATGATATTAATAATAATACTAGTAATACTAAGAATACTAAGAACAATACTAAAAATGCTCATAAGACGACGACGACGACTACTACTACTAATAATAATAACAATGATGAGAATAGTGATAATGATACGTACACAAATACACAAATACATAAATACATAAATACATGAATAAATAAATACATAAATGAACAACATAAATGAATAAGTGATTGAATGAATAAATAAATGGACAAATGAATATATGAATGAATCAATAAACAAAATGAAATAAACACACAACTAATTCAACAAAACACAGCAACATAACCACACATAGAATAAACGGGTACCCCCCCCCCCAAAAAAAAAAACACCGAAAGATCCATCTTGGCACGTGCCCCGTATGTACTTTCTTTCAGAAAGGGTCCCCTCAAACTTCATGCGGCAAAACCAGAGTCCACTCCATTGACCCCTGATGGTTAGTCCCCCCTAGTTCAAAGCCACTATGTCTCGTATGCAAGTTCTTTTCTTTTTTTTAATATATACTATATATATATGTATGTATGTGTAATGCTTAGGTTGGTTCCCCTTGTGGATGTTCTTGCTGTTTTTCTAGGACCACAGGATCCCCGGTTTCAGAATGTGAGAGCAAATCTCATGTTGCAGCTCACTTCCTGAGTTCATGAGCTTTAAACTTTTCGGGAAGACCATTTTAGTGGTAAATATCAAGTTTTTTCTTTTTTTGGGCCATCCACTCAGCCAGTGAGGTAGTCCTTTCCTTTGGTTCTCCAGAGCCATGGGTTGGCACAAGCCGTCCGTGGAGGGCGAGCGACTCTCCGAGGCGCCCTCTCGGCCATCCGCAGCTGCGGCAAGTGCCTGGCGCAGAGCGCGGGCTTGGGCCTCCTGTGGCGCCTGGAAAGCGACGCCGGGCGCTCGCAGCAGCGCGAGGAGCGGGGCCTCATCTGGGGCGCGTCTGGGGCGGCTCTCTGGGTGCCTGTGATGGGTGCGGGTGGTTGCGGAATTTCGGAGGCAAGCCATGGTCGAAACCCGAAGGTTTGCTGGTACGTACGGGGAAGCGCGCATCCTTCCCAGGGTTTCGCTGCGAGCGGATCTCGCTCCATCAGGTCCTTTGAAATGGGCACAAGAGAAAAGCCCGTAAACCGAAACCAACGGAGGCGAAGGCCAAAATTTCACCCACACAGCCCAAATCCGCCCGCAAGGTGTCCTGAGCCAGCCAATGCAATCTTGAAAGGTGTGCCAAACAAGAAGGCCCTGAAAGATGCTGTTTGTCCTTTTGACATCATCTTCCGGAATGTGTCCGTCCTAAAAGTTTTTTCCCTTTTGGGTGTCCCAGTTGGAAGATTGAGGGACCGTCAACCCCAGTTGACGCGGCGAGACAGTGAAATGGGTGACTTGTTGAGGCTGAGCTCAAATCCTTCCTTAATCCTTCCAGGAGGATAACTGCACGTGGTTTCCCTGCGACCCGAGCATGACGGAGTAACATCAGGATCCCCACATGGAACACCCCAGGACGTGTGCTTCCTGCCCTGTGCTCTGGCAGCCCTCCTGGTGGAGGAGCTTCTGGTTGGAGCTGGGGTTGCTTGCATGAACATCAAGTGGCCGGGTCCCCCAAAGGTGGTTGGTAGTTCCTTTGGAGCAAACAGCTTGACCAGGGTTTGCTGATTGCATTTCGAGGGTTGACCAAGGCGACAGCCCTCGTTGGTGTCCTCAAATCACACCGAGGGTCCTTTTTGCGGAGTCTGTCATTTAGAGACAAGCCCATTTGAAGAAACCCAGTCGGGTGCTGGGTTCCATGTCAATTTGCGGGAGGATACCCCAATGTTGTCCAAGGTAAAGTCCAACTCATTGTTGTCACCAACAGCAGGCCTTTGTTCGGGTATTAAAGGAGGTATTTGCAGTGGGCCCAACCCTCGCCCAAACCCGCCAAACCACATAGGACCCACCAATGTGCGAAAACCAGGGTTTAGTGCCACCAAGGGCGTGTGCTTCTGAACATGTTAATATGAAAACTGGAGCCCCCTGAAAGTGACGTATAGCAACAGAACTCCCACTTCCGCGTCACAGCAAGGTAAATGGTAGAAAACCAAAGATTTTCCCCCACTGCCCCGCAGGAACCCTACAGACCACACCAAAGTCCACCCACCAAGAGTTTGGGGGCGTTGATAGGGGGCACAGACATTTTGTGTTTCCGAGGTCCTTTGGGCCTCCCTTGAACCACACCAAAAACGGGTCCCTGATTTTTGGTCCAAGGGTCCACGGTTTGGAGAGCCATTGAGGTTTCGTCAAAGCTACAATCTGCACTCCTTTTGGGGTGGGACATGGGAGTCCCAAAAAATCTCCCCCCCCCCTCCCCTCTCCCCCCCCGCACCCCCTCTCCCTTCCCCCCGTGTTTTCCACCCTTGGCTCTGAGACTTGGAGACTCAACGCGCCCACTTCGCCAGGACCCCGCGGTGATCCACGGTGCACTGGCGGAGTGCGCCCGGGCGCTGCCTCATGCGGCGCCCGCGAAGTCCAAGACCTCGCGGGAGCTTTTCCCGTGGCGCGGCGGGGGGTTTTGAGAGGCGGGGGCGGGTTTAGGCTCACCAAGACGAAGGTTCTTCGATATTTGCAATTGTAAACAATGCAGATTTTCCCTTGGAATTCTTCCCCAAACGGTGGCTTGGTGCCCCTTTGATAAGCCAAAATCCCCACACCAATTCAGAGAGAGCCGAAAGCAGAGGTGCGGGGTGTGGGGATTCTAGCCAGGTGTGGGGATTCTGGATAAGAACTCTATGGGATTCTATGGAATTCTTCTGGATAGGTCTGGAGAACTCCAGGTGGTTTGGTGCACCTTTTGGAAGGTTTGGGGGATCTTCGGCCAGACTCCCCAGGCGAGCGCCCGCCGATCCGAGGTTGCTTTGGGCCACCGCCACCTTGGGCGCCAGCTCCGCCCACTTTGCCCAGCGGGTCTGGGGAGTGCTGGGCTCGTCGTTGGGCGCCTTCTCGGGGGAGGAGCGGTTTGCGGGCCGCGGGGGGTCTGGTTGCGCTTGGGCACAAAAACACCTCCTCGGGCGTCAGAACATCCACGAAAAACCGGTGGGTAGTTTTCTCAAGATTTGCAGGCCTTTCTCCATCTTAGGTGCAGGATTTTAGTCCCATGAGCAGAGGGGCTGAACGGTTACTCACAGTTGGTTCCTAGGATCATGTGCTTTTCTTGACCGGGAATGAAGACGCAGATTGATCTATCTGGCAGATTACTTTTTCAAGTGAGGTTTATTCCTTCTGGGTTCCCAAGACAGATGGCCTAGAATCGTATGAGGGGCTCGATGACTACTAACATCTGGCTTCTATGATGATCATGACTTGATGTCTTTTTTCTTTCCCGGCACCCCACAACCCTGTTCTTATGTATAGGTACTGCAAGTAGGGGGAATGACTGGGAAACTCTGGCAATTTGCTGCAACTCACACAGGTTGTGTGGTTGGACGCTGAGAGGGAATCCACCGTATTTCTCAAGATGGGATACCTCCCATACACGCTGATATTTGTTCTAGAGTGTGAAACTGGTGTCTCTAACTGGTGCTTGTGGATGGCGTTTGCAAGTGCATTTTGAGCAGTTTCTGTGATGGGTCCGATGGTTTCTTGCACTGATGTCCTCTCTCCCGGAATGGACAAACTAATCTGCCCAAGCCAACCCGAAATGACCAGAAGAAACAACTCACAAGCCCAGCCCAGCCCACCAACTGCCAAACTGAAACGAGCCAACCCAGCCAACCATGCCTAGAGCTTTTCCTTACCTAGCGCAATCTTCAACCATTTTTTTTTTTTTTTGGGGGGGGGGGGACATCCTCCTTCTCACAAGTCAACGGCTATGCCAAATATACATACGGGCCACTGACCATGTTATTCCACTGTTGGTTTGGGGAGGACATGGCATGCGCCACCCAAAGTACCAACAAACACCAGGTTAAGACCACCCGACTTTCCCTCTGGGGAAACACACATGTACTTCTTCCAGATGCTTATATATCAGTCGGTCACCAGGCGCTGGCAATGCCGATTGCTACCTGTTGAACCACAGGTCAAGGGAATCCACCCTTTGCCAAAGGGTGCCCTTACTGCTTCCACCATACTTCCCCCATTCTTTGAGGATATCAAAAAAGATCCCCAAAAACCCAGGGGAATCTCAAGGTTCCGGGCAAAGATCGATGGGTTGACAGAACGGACCAACCTTTGGACATAGGCACTCACATCCCGGCCAACGGCTTGACCGATTTTTTTTGGGGGGGGCCGCACCGGCGTCGAGTCGCGTCGGGTTTTTTGCCTCCCTCTTGGGTCCGTCCGTTGCAACTGGTCAAGAGCCCAGTGGAAGCTCGGAACGTCAGCGTTTACGGCTCCCAAAATGAGTCGATTGAAAGATTTGACCCCTTAGACAAAGTCCTGCACCCGTTGGGATGGATGAAACCCCGAAAGAAAAAACATCAAACATGAATGCCGCGCGCCACCCCAATGAATGCCGGCAACAAAAGCAAGACAAAAAACACCTACGCACTGGCGCCGCTGGCGCGGATTCTGTGGTTGACAGGAGCTGGTGCTTTTGGCCTGGGGCGCGGCTGCCGCCCGCGACGCGGGCGCGGGCGCCGGAGGCTTCTTTCCGGCCATACAGGAGGCAGGGCTTGGGAACCGGGCGAACTGGCGCAAGGAACTGTTTTCATTCACAAAGCAAATGAGAGACGAGCAGTTGTTGGGAAGGAATGGTTGCAGTTGGGTTTGGTTTCCTTGGGTTCTCTACAGCTACTAAATTTCTACGCCAGGGCCTTGTAAATCGGGACTCGTTACAAGAACGGTGGTCACAGGGTTTGCCTTATCCTCCCCATAGCGAGAGGGTCTGGAAAGTATTTTGATTGTACCAAGAACTTCATAAGATCGCCATGTTTGAGCGCTGCAATGGGGAGACAACGCGCATCTTATCTTTTTCCACACCCCAAGATACCTTGACTGCAGAACGCTCACCACCGCATTGGTACTTCCCTAAGCAATCTTCAAACCCCCTTTTTTGAAGAGTGCCAGCAGGTTTTTCTGTTCTATGGCCTGCGCTTCATTCAGCTGTCCAGACTCTTCAGGGCAAATTGCTGTTGTTTCTCCGAACATTTGTTGTTGGGACGGGGGCAAGCTTGGGTTTTGATTTGCAACGTGGCTTTCATTCAAGGCCGGCCTGCTTAAACAGGTCCATTTGAAATGCGCCCTTCCGGATTTGGATGTTTTGGGCCAGGCCGGAGGTTCTCGTTTTGGAAGGCAACACCACGTTTCAACAAGTCAGACCTTGTTGAAAATGGGGGTTTCCATGAAGCCCCCAAAAGGCGATCGACCTTTTTGGCACTACACAAGTGGGGTGACGGGGTCTTTTGCCAGCAGCCCAGCATAAACTTGAAGTCTTTGGCTGGGCTCTTTGCGCTTTTTCCCCGCTAAACAACAACAAGTTGGGCGACGGGGTTCCCCCCCCCCAGCAACCCAGCGTAAAGTTGAAGTCTTTGGCTGCTTTTCCCCCACAAAACAGCAACAAGTTGGGTGATGGAGCCCCCTCCCACCCCCCCCCCAGCCACCCATCCCCCGCTCCCCTCCCCCGGGGCCGACGGTCTCGGTGTTGCACGCGCCGGGCGTTCGCAAGGAAGTCCAGCGCCGCGCCAGCAGTGAACCCACGGAGCTTCTGGCTCACGCCTGGGCGGCGCACTTCGCCCAGAGGCGGCGGAACCGGTAGTTTTTGCTTGTGGGGGGCGCAAACATCTTCTTGGTGGCTCCCAGCCGGTTCCTTAGCCTTTAGCTTTTTAGTGTTTAGTGGTAGTTTCCATTTAACCCACTAAGTTAAACTTGTAGTGGGGGATCTGAGGGCAGCCCAGCCTTGGCGTGTGTTTTAAAGGGAAACCCAAAAGGAGCCCTCCCCATTTTGAGGAGAAACCCCATGTTGGGTAATTTCTTATAAATGAAATTTGCCCATCCCCTTTTGGTTTACTGTATCTTGTGGGCAAGTCAAGGCTGGAGAATACAATCCCCGGCCAGTTGCCTTTTGCTGGTGTTGCAGTTGGGTGAAAGTAGATGACATAGTTCTCCATGTTGGTTTACAGTAGTCATCCCCTTTCGGGTTTTCCGGAGTTGTGCCCGCCACTTTCACCCTGTGCGAGGAACCTGTTTCCTGGGCCCGCAAACCCAAACTGGTGGAGGGGTTTTAACCCCCGTTCCTGGAGGGTCGATGGGAAACCAAGCCTCAAATCAAGTTGCCGGTGCCCTCAGAACTCCCACCAAGAGCGTGACCCAGATTCAGGTGGTTAATGTTGCGAGTTTTCAATGCGCGAAGTACGTGAAAGAAACGGAAGAGAGCCATGAAGGCTAGATTTTCTAGCCAAGCATGTCCTTGCACCTTGCCTTTCTCCGCCATCCCTGCTTTCAACTCGCTTTCTTCAAAACTGACTCAGAGCACATGGATTGGACACAACGCATCACAAAGTGCACGAGAAACAGCGCGCCAAACACGGCGGAAGAGCAAAGCAATCCTCACAGGCACTAAACAGCACAACTCCTCTGAGGCTAAAGTTGAAGTTTTCCAGTTGCCCAAGTCCAGGTGGTCTTCCATTTGTTTCCAGTCCGCTTCCTATCCGTTTCGCATGAGGCCATTTGTTGCCCTCTGTCTTTAGGCGTGTCCTTTTATAGAACCGCCACCCTCAAAAAGGCGGTTTTGCTTTTGGTTTCCCTTTAAAAGCCACAAAAAAGCTGGGTGCCCTCATGTTTTCTATTTGAAAGCACAAAACGAGTACCCTCAAAAGACGAGCTGACGAGCCCATGTGTTTTGCCTGGGGCGCTCAGCCAGGCTGCCGAGTGGCTTCCTGGCCTGGCTGCGCTGCCAGCTGCAGCGCCTGGGCCGCGCCAGGGACGGGCCGAGCCAGCGCGGATGCGGCAGGAGGGGACGCGTCGTTTTTGGTGGGGGAGGTGGTCGTTTTTGGGATGAGCATCAAAAAAACGATTAAGGGGATCCCAAAAAACATATATTTAGGGGATCAATGATCAAACAAAAATCAGTGAAATCATGTTTGATCCAGCTCCCGTCGTTTTGGATTTTTTGGTTTGCTTGAAGCGGTGTGGTGCTCATATCTCTGCAAAAAAATGGAATTGGGGAAGCGATGGATCCGCGGAACTCCATCACCTTCCATTTTGTGCGGAAGACTCAGCCGACCAGCCAACCAACCAACCAACCAACCAACCAGCCAGCCAGCCAGCCAGCCAGCCAGCCAGCCAGCCAGCCAGCCAGCCAGCCAACCAACCAACCAACCAACCAACCAAACAACCAACCAACCAACCAACGCCGACCAACGCCGACCAACGCCGACCAACCAACCGTAACCAAGTGCAGAGATAGGCGCCCCTTAGGAAAATCTTCCCAGGGCGGGTGAAGCCCTCGCTGCGAGGCTCGCCGGCGCCGAACCAGAAGGCGAAGGCTTGGCGGCGGTCTTGCAGCTGCCGGACTGCCTGGTGCTGAACAAGGAAGCCTGGGTTGGACATATATATATATATATATATATATATATTATATTATATTATACCTATATTTATGTATGCTCACCTCCCCCCCCTGAGCTACCTTTACTTCTTTCAGCCACTACAAGGGCCACAGTGACAAAGGCTCCCGCCCGGTCCTGAGAGAACAACAGTCAGCGATTCACTTGACAGCGGACGGAGGGCTGTGCGGACGCGACAGTGACACGGTCTCCGCCCAATCCTGAGAGAAGTTCTTTCGGAACTGTGGCAGACTTGCAGGATCTGTTCCTGCCCCGGAGTCTGTTGCTTGCGTCAAGGATTTTGCTCGGCGGAAGAAATAGAGATGCAGGCAAGCGCAAAGGTTTGTGCAGGCTGCGGATATTCTAGGGCGGCTCGCTTGTCTTGCTGCTTGGGTGTCTGTCTGGGCTTTACAGGGCGTGAATTTGCAAGGGATGCCGGACCTAGGTCGTCCACTCAGTCCAATCGATTCTTCAAGATCTCACCCAGTCACCCGTTCTCCCTCTCCCTCAGAGATACTGTTCAGCCTTTGTGTTGCGCAGCCGGCTGTTGCTCTCCGAGATAAGTCTTATGCCAAGGCAAGCCGTGCGAAAGCGCACCCGGATTGCTTCGGTTCTGGCAGCATGGCTGCTTGGGGAGCTGAGAGGATTCCGGGTTGATTGTTGAGCGCAGAGAAAGCTCTTATGCGCGGCGCGCCCGGTGGAATTTCCTTTCCAGGGCGGCCTTTGCAGTAAGGCCTTGTGGTCCTATCTGCATGTATCACAGAAGGACAAAAGTGAATGTGAATGTTTATGTTGTTTCCGAAATTAAGTAGGAGTTCCTTTCCAAATAGGTTTTTTTGATAGAGGTAGCTGCGATTCATAGTTTAAGTACAATTTCCTTCTCAAACATGTTCTTTTAATCAAAGTGAACTGCAATTCAGGTGGAGTGTGATAAGTCTCCATATCTTTTTCTTTTCGGCTGCACATAACCGCACATATACTACAAAGGTAGTTTGGGGGGGCATATAAACCCCTGCAAGCTACGAAAGCTTAAAAAAGCCCGAGAAAGCCAACAAAACAGAAACGCCAACTCTGGGCTTTGCCAGAAAGGTTTATTTTGGGGGGTTTTCTTGAGGTGTTCCCTCATCTTTTCAGGAAAAACCAAACAACTTGGTGGTTTTCGGGTGCTTGGAGTTGTTGATGGAAACCACGCACAACGTCAAAGCACGAGAGAACCATAGAAGCAATAGAGTTTTTGTTTTTACATATATATATATATATATATATATATATTGGTGTACCCTCACTCCCCAAATTCCCAGACTCTAAGCTTTTTGGGGACCATTTTGGAAGAACCCTGGGTCTGGTTTCCCTTTTCCCTGAGGAAGCTGGCTGGGAGGTGTGCGACCAGCACGGCGCCAGGCGGGTAGACCATGGCCTGCTGGCTTTGCAGGTCCCGGGGCTTCCTTGCGACGTTTTTGTTTTTTTCTCGGGGGGGGGCAGCGGGGGGGCTTAGCTGGAATTCCATCAACAACACGGGATTCAGGTACGTTGGATCTTTGCTTTGCCTTCTACTTGCCTGTAGTTTTGCCCACAGCGCCCAAAGCTCATAGACATCTTGGCACAAGCGTGGCTATGGTTTCTTTATTTTCCACACCCTATGAAACCATGAGACCAGGGACTGAGATTCAGGGGGGGAGCTTAACTGGAAGTCCGTCAACGACACGGGATGCAGGGTCCCTCGCCCAAGTGGGGGAGACCAGAAAGTTATCCTGAGGGGTTCGGCAGGCACAGAGGCCTGTGCACATGTTGGTCAGTGGAAATTCCGGTGATCGGCTGGAAATCAACCATCTTGGTGTCAGCTTTGGGGAGTGGTGCGTTTGGACGGTTTTCCCAAGCATCGGATGCAAGGTTCTGGTTTCCACTGCCGAACCATCAATTCCTAGGGTAGAATCTTTTTCCTAGCGAAACCACGATGATCCCAGGGGCAATTCTCATTACACAGCGGCTATGCAGCGCCTATGGACACCATGGCCTGCTTTCCGCCGCTTTTCGGGGAGCCGCTTTTCGGGGAGCCCGGCGTCCGGATTTTTTTTCTTCGCGAGGCAAGTGGTTGACCTGTTGCGGTCGAAGCTGGGGTGGCAGCGCCTTGGCTTTCGAAAGACTTGGGGCCCCAGACTCTCACTCCATACCTCGACAACTTTTGGCACCCCAGGGGCGCCATACTGTTCACCATTAACTCAAGTCTTCTCACTCCATACTTTACGTACTTTTTGCTTTGGGCCTTAAACTTCTTGGGAAGTCAAGAGTTTATGGGCTTGAGTGAATTCTTGGGAAGACCAGTTTAGTGGCCAACACAGTGCTTTCCTCAGGAAGCGGACTTATAGTGGTTGGTCAGGAGTAAGGATTCAGGATTGGCCAAACCTTGGTTTCAAAGCAAAAGTTGGTCGGAGACCTCCTTTTGGTCAGTTGAGTTGAACATAGATAGAGTTCTCCTGTAGTTTGGTTCAAACCATGGTCCTTGTTTTTTTTTTTTTTTTTTTTTTTTTTTTTTTTTTTTTGAACAGCCGACCGGCCATGTTGTTTTCTCCCCAGGCACTTGTTTTTCACGTTCCCCTGCTTGGTGGTTTGGATTGGTGGACTCCTGCTGGCACCTCGATTGTGACGCACTGGGATTCCATCCCCTTGGTGTAAGGAAGATGAAGCAAGGCCCAGCCAGCTACCGGACCTATTTTCTCCTTTTTCCCGGAAAACCGAGTCCGAGCGAGTCCGAGCGAGTCCGAGGCACCCCATCCTTTGGGACGCGGAGCAGCAGTTCGGGTTCCTGCACCGCCTGGACGTGCCCAGCTCGGGGCTTCTGCTGGCGGCCACCAGCTACGAGCCTCGAACTCGAAAGGTTTGAAGCGAGCGCGTAGGTGACGCAGCGCATGGTGTCCCTCTTTTAGATGTTTCCCCCCCCCCCAAAAAAAAAAAACGAAGAAGAAGAAGCAACAACACGAAAAGGGGGAGAACAAGAAAACAGAAGCCAGGGTCAGGTTTAAGGGGCCATGCTATCCGACACTTTTGGATGTTTCCCCAAAAAACGACAAACAGATGCCATGCAGCCCATATTTAAGGCGCCCCGCCCCGCCCCACACTTCCCATGTTTCACAAGGGGAACCATCGGAAGGTGTGAATTAGGACCATCGATTGTTTGCGATGGCCCCCCAATAAGCAGTATAGTAGTCAGGAGTTACTTATAGTCACTGCTGGGCTCTTCTTGCTACGGCTGTGAAGCATTGGAGCCAGAATTAACCCTGCTAATTGGAGGGTAGCAAGGAACAGGTGCGGACAGAGACCCTGGTTTCTTTGCCTTTAGGGCAGGGGTCTGATTGTCACTCACTTGAAGCTGGTACCTGCGACGTTAGGCAATCCAGCAATCGAAATGAGCAAGCCCCACTGTTTCATTGCCAGACTTTTGAAAACCTGAGCCTTCAACGCCCTAAAATGCCCCGTTTGGGTTGCCTGAGCTGACGCGTTCAACGTCAAGGCCATCGATCGATCCATGAGACTGCCGAGGTTTAGAGCGCCAAGGGCAAAGTTTGAAATAGAGGGTTGGGTGGTCTTCTCACTGCACCACGCTTTTGGACTTGATCGCCCCGGTTGGACCATCAAAACCGAAGTTTGTTTTCTTCTTCGGGAAGAGCACATATGGCGCATGGTCTACTTTGGGCTTGGTGGAGCCGGTATTGTGTTAGACCAGGGTAAGGTTCGCGGGCTATGACCGGAGTTTTGAGACGATTCGGGGCCTTCGGCTTGCGTTGTTTGCTCTTGCAAAGCAGATTGGTTTAGCTTGTCTCCAAATAGGGGTTGATTCCCCATTCTTTTTAACTATCGTTCTTTTCAAACACCGGATCCGTTTGTGCTGGGTTTTTGATGGTTTCCTGAAAAGATTCGGATCCCTGGGTTCAGAATGGAAATGGAAGGTACCCCCCCCCCACTCCCCACCCCCCCCCCCACTCACCCCCCCCACCCATGACCACCCCTCCGAAACCCAAATACGGAAAAACATATCGCTGGACTGGCGTGTTGGCGCCCTTCCTCCCAAGGAGCGCTACTACGAGCTTCAGCTGCAGCTGCGGACCGGCTCCATGACCCGCCGCGTCGCAGAAGGTTCGGGTCGATTGGGATAGGGTCGAGGGAGAGGCGGGGGACAACCTCTGATGGGGAACCGGGGACCCCTGATCAGCCACAATATCTTTTATTTTTATTTCTTTTATTCTTCTTTTTTTCGTCTCAATAATGGAAGGGAGTTCCACTCTGGCTCTGTGATCAGCAACTTTCCAACAATGGAAGGGAGTTCCACTGTGACGCTCTGTCAAAAGGAAAGTAGTCTTCAACCCTCCTGTCGGCTTGCACAGAAGGAGGGTAAATGGCGGTAAATGGCTTGCACACAAGGAGGGTAAATCGACAAAGCTTCCATGGTGGACCGTGGCTGTCTGGGTTGAAAGCTGGCGCTACTTCGTTTGAAGCCAAGTGGATACATTTGCGCAGATTGTGATGGGCTCACCGATGGGAAAACTGACCTCACCTGTGATGAAGGTTCCTCACGAGGGGATTCTCCCTTTGACCGTTCAAACAATCTCCGCGCCTTTATGAACCCTTTGCCCACTTTCCAACAATGGAAGTGGACGTATGTCTTCCAAGCCTTCTGTCAGCTTTCATGCTCAGAAAAATAGCAAAGAGCATGCTCTTTCGGGTGTGCCCTCTCCTTAGCTGTGGAGGTAGGGAAACCAGAAACACTCCGATGTTGAACCCCCGGTCAAAAAACGACAAGCGTTCGAAAAGGGATGCCCGGTGCTTCACCCTTTGGTGACCCCGAAGGGAAACCTTGAGGCCGCTCCCAAATAGCACCCGTTCCTATTTTGGCACCACTATGATGCCACTATGGCCTTTTAGTGTTTTCCACCTGAAATGGGGGTGGGCCCTTTGTGGTCTTGTGCGTGACCAAACATGTTTGATAATCCATTTTCACGGGAAACCCATCGATTTTTCCGAAAGGTCGGCTATGGTCAATCTGGCTCGCAACATGTCGGTTTCTTTGCGCGACCTTTTTTTTGGTGTGCAAAATGTGTTTGGTTTCTTTGCGCGACCCACATGTTTCGTGCAGGAATACTTGAACACCGACTGTGCGATGTGTCGATTTGGATCCATCCGAGGCGACTATGCGATTTTGTCTCATGGCTGGTGGCCGTCAAATCGAAGATCGATTCACGCCAGCGTGTACTGGGGCGCCCGGGCCAAGATCGAGAGGGTTTTTTAGGGGAAAAATCGTTGGCAACATGTGGGTGGCGCGTCCCTTTTTTGGGGACCCTCCCCCATGTGTTTAATCCGGTTTTCCTTTTGATTTGCTTTTGACGCCACAAAAAATGGGGTACCCCCAAAGACGACAGCCCCATCAGAAGCAAAAGTTTCCGGCTAAAAAGAAGGTTGCTCCCAACCAGGGTGGAACATTGTTGTGTCTTTTTCGAGGAGGAGGGGGTGGGGTTGGAGAGGTCCAATTTTTACAACCCGGCGAAATTGGTGGCCGGTCGAATTCAGAGCAACCGTGCTTTGGAAAAGGACCCGTTGTTGATGGTAGGGCAGGATGGTTGAACTCGTCCCCTCGCGGGCAGATCTGGGAGTGTTTGTTGGAGCTTCGAGGGAGGACCATCGCTTCGGTTCAACATCAAGTTGGAGCCGGCGTTCTTTTTGTTGGGGCTCCCAAAAGGTGCGAGCCCCTCCAACTGATCTCGAGAGCCCGTCAACCTCAAATCACAAATACCATCCATCATCTTGAAGTCTAAAGACGGTAGACAGGCAAACTGCAGTAGACCCCCCCCCCAAGGCCACCCCCCCCTCCGAACTTTTTCTTCGAGGCGAGAGGACGCTGTGCCGCGCCGGCGGCCGCGGGAAGCCCTCGGTGACGTTGCCCAAGGTGCTGGGCCACCTTGCACAACGCGGTGAGTGCTTCAGCTTCCTCGTGGCGCGCATCCTCACGGGGCGAGCCCAGGCCAAAAAACTGGGACCCAGGGGTCCCGTTTTGGGGTGTCCGGCGTTGGTTCGTTTTTTTTGGCGGGGGGACGGGTTGGGAGTTTCGTCTAAGGCAACCCAAGAGGATTCCCTTTCATTCAACTGCCAAGTTGGCTTTTTGGAGGGGGGGATTCCCGTTTCAGGCAACCGAGAGGATTCCCCTTTCATTCAACTGCCAAGTTGGTTGGTTGTTGGCTGTGTTTACTTGGCTTTGCTTGCTTTCTTGCCTTGTGAATGGCGGGTCAAGACACCCTTTGACACGGAGCTGCTAGGTAAATGAACATCATGTCGAGGGTCCCCAGCGTAGGAGAACCACACCACACATTTTGGCATTTGAGGAGTTTTTACCATTGCCAACAGTGAAGGATCCCTGCTAAACAGGGACAGCCTCCTGGTGAACCAGTTTTTTCTTGTTAAAAAAAAGGAAGAAGCACAAATCTTGGGTGCCCCCTGGTCCACTGGTCAACCAGGGTTTTATCCTGGGCTTTGGCTTGCTCCTTTTTTGCCTCAGAGCCAAATCCCAAGAGCTGGGCTTTGGCATTGGTTTCTCGCCCTCGCCAAGGAAGGCATCAGATCCGCACCCACTTCGCGCATGTGGGCCATCCAGTCGTTGCCTGGCGCGCATTTGGTGGTCTGCGCCCCCTCCTTTTTCACCCGAAAGGACGCGACTTGCTGGGAGAAATTCCCCCGCGCTTTGGTTTTTAAGGAAACATCAAAGGGAAGCCAAGCATGTTAATTAAGGGGTTCCCTACTTTGAGAATCCATATGCGTGTCTTTTTCAGCATCACCTTCTGGAACCACCAATTTAAGGTAAGTTCCCTTTGGGGTGGAGCGGATATTCGACTAGGACATACATGCTTTACGGTTTTGTTGTCTAGCGGTACTCTGTTTGGGGGGTTGTTTTGATTTAATCCGCAGTGCAACCACCCGCAGAAGTTCAGCGGACTTTTGAGTCGACTGCAGGCAGTTGCTTTGGACCCTAATCTCCTCGGTCTTTCTACGCAAGGTGCGCCACCTCAAACGAACTGTCGATAAGACCGTCCGGCAAACACAAGCATATACACAGATGCATCAAGCAGGAAGGTCCGATTCCTAAACACTTTGGGGGAACCCTCGCCCCTCAAGATGGTTGGTGGACAAGCCCCGGGCCCCAGCATGTCCACCAATGGGTGCCGCAACAGAATCCACACCCATGTTAGGATGTAGGTTTGTGTAAGATTCCTTTTCCTGGGCTGTAAGGCAATCCTAAATCCTTACTTGGGTTCTGCAAGAGGCTAAATCTCCTTTGTAGTGGCTTTTCAAACGGGATGATGGAAAATCGGATTGGCCAGCACTTCACTTCGAACAGCCCAGACTTCATCCAGGGATGACTGGGTTTCCCGACTCCTATTTGGACCTTGAAAAGTGGCAGCTTGAGTGGAACCCAGCAGTAAATTGATCGACTTCTGGAAGGGACATTTGAGCCAAAAGAGGGCACTTGGACCTTTTGGAGGTGTCGATTTGCGTAGGTTTCATGTTTTGTTTCTTGAGTTCCTGCTTGTTGGTTTCCCATTTTTCGCTCTTTCCCTTCGCTCTTGATGTTTCTCCTCTTTCCGTGTTTTGTGTTTTTCTCCATCTTCTACGGTTTCGCCTTTCCCTGTTGCTTTTTGTTGGGAAATTGACCGCCTTGTTTCGCTCTCGATGTTTCTCCTTTTCTCTCGCTTCTTTTTGGTTTCGCCGTTCCCCGCTGCTTTGTTGGGACCTCGGGCGCCGTTTCCTGTTTCCGTCTTTTCCTTTCGCTCTTCCCGCGCTTTCCTTGTGCTTCCCCAGGATGGGGTTTACCCCTTCCACCTCGAAACCACCGGGCTCCGAAGGACAGGGCCCTTCTCTTTTCTTGAATTGGGGGGGAGGTTATTTTTTGGGGGGGAGGTTAGTATTAAAACATTTTTTGGGGGGTAATGTCATTTTGTTGTGTTTGTTTTCTTCTTCTTTCTTTTTGGGGGGAGGGGTTAAAGGGGGGTTAAAATACCGTACTCGAAAAAACCATCTGTAACCAGCGGGCCTCGAAAATATCCGATCCCCTAAAAAGGTTTGTCTCACAGAGAGACCTTCCCTCGTTGGATTGGATGGGAAGCTGACCATCGCCCAGGTGGCGGACCACCAGTACACTGCGAGAAGCACGCGGCGAAGGGACCAAGAACTGCTGGACCGGCACTTCCTGCACCGAGCCTTGGGCCTTGGGACGGCCGGCTTTTTTTGTTTAAACGTTGAACAGTCAACGGCCCAAAATGGGGTGCCGCTTTGTTTCGAGGAAATCCTTAGTCGTCAGAGTTCGAGGCTCTTGAATTGACTTTCGGGGGTGGCGTTTTTTCACCCAAAAAAACATTGAGAGGGTAACTTGTTCAGGATGTCTTGCTATGATGCACCCAGTTGCCCTCCCGAAGGGAACCTCAGGCAGGTCCGAGTGAAAGGCCTCATTCCAAACCTCGCATTGGCCATTCAAGTAGGTGCCCGCTTTGCCTGGGATAGTAAGCCCTACTAGGTCCCCCAGTAGTGCCCTGAAAACCCTTTTTGGTTGGGAGGGTTCCCCTACTAAAATAGACGACTGAAAAGGGCATGCTTATTCCAGCGTCTCTGCTGGAGGACCTAGCCTATATAAACCTTCAAGTAATTTGTAAGTGGGTCTTGGGCGCTTCTGCACCGTGGTGTGACTTGGGTGGACCAAGGCTCGCGACTTCTTTCCTCTCGAAATTGCTATGATGTTTTTACGGGGACCCAGTCCGGGACTCTTCTCGCACTGAAGGCACTTGATGAGAATTGCTGTTGGTTACTTTCAATACATTCCCAAGACCAGAACCAACCGCCACCAAGATTCCCAGATGTTTGTAAAGATGATGGGTCAGGGCTATATGGGTGCATAGGGCGGTAGCTCTGTTTGCACCAAACGCGCAAGTCGATCCTTTTCTCAGGGGCTTTCGCCCCAAGCACAAGGGCACCAACTGCCTTTTGGTTTGGGCAGGGATCGAAAAGGTCTCAGCTGGCCGCAAGAGGAGAGTACCTCTCAGCTTTTGGATTGAAAGCGCTCGGGAGTAGAACCTTTTCCCCATTTTTTTTCTCTGTTCGGAGAGAGCCGATTCCAAGGACGCGTCCCTTCAGCTTGTTAAGGGCAGTCAATTCCAAGGAGGGGTCCTACCCCTGGTTTTCGTTTGAAAAGGGGGCGCCGATTCCAGGGATGAGTCCATCCGGCCGCCGGAAAAGAAAAACACAACACCAAAGAAAACAAACAAGCAAACAAGCAAACAAGCAAACAAGCAAACAAGCAAACAAGCAAACAAGCAAACAAGAAAAGCAAAAACACCCTAAACCCTAAACCCTAAACCCTAAACGCTTCAAAAACACAAATCGGCGGCCCCCGCTGGGCTTCGATCGCTTCGAGGCTTCCACTTGGCCTTCGAAGGATCCGCGCTGAAGGAGCCGCTGCCTGCGGAGCTTCGGCGCCTCCTCCGGCGCCTGGAGCCGGTGAGGCGCGGAGGTTCCGGCGAGTTTTTTTCCAGGTTTTGGTTTCGGAGGGGTGGTGGGCGGGGGTGGGGGGGGTGCATGGTTCTAATGTTTCTAGGGGTACCTTCCATTCCATTCTGAACCCAGGGATCCGAATCTTTTCAGGAAACCATCGGAAACCCGGGGGAAACAGCCGGTTTTTTGAAAGCACTATGGTTGAAAAGAATGGGGAATCAACCTCTAGAATGTTTGGGTTTCGGAGGGGTGGTCATGAAGATCGGGGCCAGCAAAAACCAACAGAAATGCAAGGAGCAGTTACAACGGCACGAGTAATATGTGCAAAATGTGGGTCATGGGCTGCGGTCGAGTCATTCCATGAGGGCCAAACCAACCTCAATCAAGTCTCCAAAACCATGTGTATGGGCCAAGATGGGGCGGGGGAGCGGCCCCGAACGCCTTTTTTTGTTGTTGGTTTGTTTCCCTTTTCGGATTGGTACACCAATCCAATTTGGGGTACCCTCAAAAGTTGCCACGCCTCCCAGGGCGAAGTTTGGGGAGGGCGGAAGGCCAAGGGAGCTGCAGTGGAGCCTGGGCAGCTGGGAGGAGGTGCTGGCGCTAGGCGGGAGGGGCGGAGCCCTCGAATCACCCCAAACTTCCAGCTGATTCTTGGGTGTGTCGGTTTAGGACTTTGGACCAGGCGCAAAAAGGCTTCGGCTTTTCCTTACACAAAGACAGCGCCATTGAGAGGATGGCCAAGAAGGAGCAGGGCGGGAACCTCTTCTAAATTGTTTGAAGGGATACACCTTCGGGACCCACCTGTAATTTTGAGCCAACACCCATCTAAACCAGTGCCATCTATTTCTAATCAAACTAGCCTAAAAACACCTATGCCAACCACTTGAACGAGCCCAGTCTTACCCCCAACCTTCCAATGCTCCCCACCTGATCCCCCCAGTTTGAAGCCATGGGAAAGGTCATTCTGAGGACGTCGCTTCGGGTGCTCAAGCCGTCCCGTGGAGACCATAACGAGTCCCGCTGAGGACGTCGCTCGAATGAACCCAGTGAACAGGAATCCCGAGCTTGCCTTGTCAACTGACGCATGCATGTTTTGTTTGGCCCCTTTGGTTCTGCTGTTGGAATCTTCTTTTACTCAAAACTTGGATAGCAATGCTGGATATCTCATAACAGGATATGTTGTTTTACTCAAAACCTTCATTACACCGTTGGATACGTTTGTCATTTTCGTTTATAGTGGATGGCTGCAAGGAATCCTTCCGTCTTAGTTCGTTGTCTCGAGCATTCCGTCGGAGCCGCGAGGGGACGAGCGAGAGCTGAGGGGATGGAAGGATTGAAGGGACCTGCTCCAGCAGCCCGCGGATTTCGTTGGCCGTGGCCGACCCTTTTTGCTATGTTTGTCTTTTCTTGGAGGCTCCCCACCATCCGGCTCCTATTTTTCTGAAGCCTTTTGGTTGGTTTAGTGCTTGGGTTTCCATTAAGCCCACTAAAAGTTAGTCGCTTTTAGCAGGGGATCTGAAAAGCCTTTTTGCGATCCCAAGCCAAGCAGGGGTCCAAGTCCGGCCCAGATCAGAGCCGATCATTTTTGGGAGAAATGGTCAATTGCCGTTTAGAGAGCATGGTCATTATCTTCCATTTGCTGAAATGAATGATTTTCTTATTCTCCTTTGTTGGTTTTAAAGGGGAGCCATTACTGCTAGAAATATCGTCTCATTCATTCCAGCGGGGTTAAGCAAATGGAGGTTACCCTCTCTGTGATGGTCATTAACCGTGCCCCAAAAGAACATCCCCGTAAACCGAATGGACGCTCATATGGCATTTCCTGGGTCTGCAGAGCGGTCTCTCAGATGGTACGCGCCAAGCGCGGAAATTCGAGTGCTCGCATCTGAGTGCTTGCTGAGAGTGCAAATAGCAGGAAATTGCTGCTGGTCGCTTGCGGCTTTCGTCTCTGACTTTGAGGTCTCCCTTCCTCATAGAGAATGCGGCTTTTGTTGAGGTCTTGTTAGGAGTGGGGTGGGGTTTTGGGGGAGGGGGGTGGATGCAATGAAAGTTAGCCCCTGCATGTATGGGGTCATACTTTCTGCCTTTGACTGGAAGAGCGGCCGGGAACATTTGCCAGCGCATCCAACCAGAAGCATTGACGGGCGACTTTGGTGGATTTCCCGTGGTTTCCGTTTAAAAACTCCAAAAGGTATGTCATGGGCAAGCCTTAGATGCATCCAGACCGAATCTATGGATGAATCTGATGTTGGCACTTTGGCTCCTCTAAGGGGAACATCTACACAAGTTCATGTTTAAACCACAGGCGTTGAAACAGGTTCCAACTGTTCCAACATCTCTAAAGCAGTGAGAATTCCACCTGCTCTTTCTGGCTCCTCCTCTTTTGATCCTTTTACTCATGTGATCCTAAAGGGTTGGATCCACTGCCGCATCCAAACCCGTTGAAACCTGTCTAACACACATTGTTTGCCCCCTTCCTCGCGAGTCCCTGCTTCTCGCACCATAGGTGATTGAACAGGCGACCGATCCCAAGGGTCCGAAAAGTGAATGGTTGACCTTGCTTCATGTTTCCCCTAGCAGCAAAACACAATGTCTTTTTCCATCGTCTTGCTTTTTGGAGGGACACGTTTCGGGTTTCACCGGGGTCCACCTTTGACCTGACCGCGTCGATCAGCGAGCGAGCGTCTTCGAACATGTCCTCGCTGGGCTCGAGTGCCGCGCGGTGCGCGGCGGCTTCTGCGCGCTCGAGTTTCCCTTGTTTTCCATCCCGAGCCGGCGCTGAAGAGAGGCCGGGACCCGGGAGGCCGGGGGGGGGGGCCATTCCTTCGAGGGTTTCCCCTGCCCAGCGGTTTACAGTTTTACACTTAGATGAGAGGGGGGGTGGGAACAAGGTGGCAGAGGGGTCTAAAAGGGTTCCCCCACGCACAAGGCGCACCCTTCTTTGGCTTTTTGGTGTGTATTTTTGAGCATGTCTCCGCATGGCAAAAGCCACCTTTGTGTCTCAGGGGTTGACATCATACCTTAAAAGAGAGGAGGTGCTTGGAGTTAAGATTCACTCGCGGAGTGCGGAGAGACCAACGAGTTGCGGCCATCAGTAAGTTTGATCGGTCAAGGGCGCCCTGGCGCCTCGCGCAGGGAAACCCATGGGTGATCCATGACCAACCTTGACACCCGATTGGATCAGGGCGTCTTCTATAAGAATTCCGCAGGGGGGCTGTTGGTCTCCTGCCCCACCAAAGGGCGATTGTTGGGGTCCATGCTAATCTGCAGGGGAGGAAACGTTGAGGGAACTTTACGCTTTCGGAAAAGAAGAAGCCCCGCCGCACAAAAGGGCCTTCTTCTTTTCCCTTTTGGTTTCGCTTTCAGACAACCCAAAGCGGTGGGAGAGTCCTCAAAACTGCCTTGTTCAAGATCACTTCCTACTAGATTGTCAGGGTTTCCCCCCGTGGTGTTCGTCCAGGAAGGATCGCAGCGATGGCCGCCAGTGATGCTGATCGACCCCGCACGTGGCAGTTTTCAAAGACAAAAATGCGCCCTGGCAATCCGGGCGAGTGAGTATATCATGACCAAACTTAAAGGGCGGAACATAGGGCTTGGCGCGTTTTTTCTTTCAAACCACAAGCGTAGAATTCAGAAAATTGGGATTGTGGTGCTTCTGCTTTCCCAGGGAACAAGTGTCCAAGCTTGTGACAGACCAGAAGGAGGGTAGATTTCAAGCATGTTGACACAGTTCTGAACTCATTGCGAGCTTGCCAATCGGAACTACGAGCTGCCAGTTTTAGGAAGGCTCGCAGCTTTGGGATGCCTGAATTCATGTGGTGAATCAAGGTAATCTATGCTGTTCAAAGGCAAGCCTTAACCCTTGCGCCCTCACAGTTGCCCACTTTTTCGGGCATATCTTGAAGAAACAAGGTTTCCGTTGTACATGCCCCTGTTTCAAGTCAGGGGCTGACATCATACCCTTACAAATCGGTATTTGGAGTAGAGGTTACCTTGAGTTACGCAGGGAGCCCCGTTTGCTGTTTCCCTATGGGAATTGTGGAAAGGTTGGACCACGCATACACATGGGTGGGGGTGTCTTAGTTAGGGGACCCTGGCGACTGGTGGTTTTCCTTTTGGCTTCCCCTTAAAGCCAACCAAAAGGGGTTCGTACAAACGCCACAACCATAATATGTGTATATAGACAATACAGCCAAGGGCATACGCGTTCTTTGAGGTCACTTTGGTCGAACATAGATGGCACTGTTTTTACCTGGGTTCTAATCCATCACCAGAGCCATCTATTGGTCCAAAACACCTGTGGCCAGGTGGGGACCCAATGTGCTTGCACTGGACCTGCATCCAAAGGGCCCACACTAAGCACGACAGTGAATTCCAGCTGTCCAACTGCAATCTGGGCGTACCTTTTGCGAGAAGATCTCATGGACAATTTCTGAGATGGCCGTGAACATCCCAATCCCCACTAAAATAGACGAAAATGGGTGGTGCACCTGCCCCCAAAATGGTACCATTGGTTTTGACCCACGGCCAGATGTCTGATCAAGGTAATCAAGTTCGCGGACGAAATTGTTGGTTTCCACGTCTCCAGTCAGGGGTTTGGTGTTAGGTGGGGAACAGACTTGGACTTGACTCCTAGTTTGCCTCATGGTGCGAGCATAGGTGTCCTTTTTGCTCAGTTTCGTTGAGATAAATTTTCCGGGCACTGGACATGATACCTCTTGTCTTTTTTTTTTCCCCCTAATTTACCAGGCACATCCCTGAAATGTTCTCAACCAACATGCATGGCTGCGAGGTGCAAATTCCACCTCGTTGGGATGTGCATGAAAGGCAACCAGTGCCCGCTCCTTGGCCGCAAGTTGGCTTGCCAGCTTTGGTGTGGGAATCGGATCCTCCCCCCCAAAACAAAGAATTTTGGTTTTCCGGTTGATCCCCCTTTCAAAACCACCCAAAAATGGGTTCCCACCCCAACAAAAACAAACAGCACTGCAGAAAAAACCGCCAAACACTTCATTTACGTGTGATGTTGACTCAACGAGGAAGGACACTAGAGCCCTGCCTGAGGTTTTTCCACCGGGCACTTTTTCGTCCTGCGGGAGGAGGACTTCCCAATTTTTTCGGGGCTGGGGCGCATCTGTTATGTCCGAAGGCTACGCTCAATGAGAACAGAAAATCTCATGTACGCCCCAAGATCTCGAGCTTCTCCCCATTTTCCCCAGGGCTTCTACCTAGAATTGGACCCCAACCTAGAATTGGACCCCAACTTTTTTTTGTCTCTCACCCCTTGACCCCACAACCTCTGAACGCCTTGGGTGTTTTTAACCCCTCCCTGCGCCGCGCCCGCCGAAGCCTGAGGTTCGCGCACGAGAAGTGCGAGCTCCGAGCATTGCCGGACTTGACTTGCACCAAGCTGTGCAAGACCTTGATACAGACAGGCGGGTCTCAGAGTCTCAGAGTCTCGGGTCCAGCCAGGTTCTGGTGGGCATGTGGAACATGGCGTTGGGCAGCCTCAACTTGGGGGGCCTGCTTTTCCCTTGATATTCAGGTCCAGTTGACCCTCTGGTCATGTGGACGGTGGGTTTTGTGCCCTTTGCTTCCCCAGCTCGCTTTCCGTGATATGCCAAGGGAATCTTCCGTGGCAAAGTCGTACTGTGAATGGACAAAATACCTGCACCAGTCGGGATGAATGGAACCCCGCAAATATTGGGATAACTCACCTATCAGGTGGTGCGAACGGATTGCGTCCAGAGTAGAGATGACACATTTTGGTATCGCAAGGGACACATTTCCACAGACCATCGAGATGGAATGCAGCGAATTCGCCGAGAGGAGCCTGTACCGACGCCAACTGCACCTACGCCCACAGTAAGAATGAGCTGCGAGCCACCAGCCTCTCTGCTAAAGCCGCCTGCTCGCCTCGTTTTGGTCAGACATTTTCATGGGTTGGAGGCTCTCATGCTACTGTGAAGATAAAAAGGGAGGGATGGGGACTGTAGCCGGTGATGGGAATGCGGAGCTGGGGGTATCCCAATTTGCTCTTTAAAGAGGGATCCTTTCGGAGCTACCGGGACTTCTGTAAGAACATGATAGATAGCTATGATAGTTGGGGACCCTTTGGTGGTGATGTGCATGGATTCATGCCAATTGTGGCCGTCAAGAGTCCTTACGCCAGCGATAGATTTGATGGAGTTCTTTTGCAGAAGCGTGTGTTGCTGGTTGGTTGGGTTGTTGGTTGGTTTGGCTGGCTGTCTGGCTGGCTGGCTGGCTGGCTGGCTGGCTGGCTGGTTGGTTGGTTGGTTGGTTGGTTGGTTGGTTTGCTTTTGGTTTGTGTGTGTGTGTGTATGCGTGCTTGGGCACATGTGTGTAAGAAACATTCAGGGGAGTTGAGGAAATCCTTGTAGTTCCTGAATTGGAGTTTCAGAGTAGCCTTTTGGTCGGTTTCTAAATGGAACTTTACTGAGGGCCCCCCAAGGAACCACCAATTTCAGCAATTACCAGGTTGCTGGTGTGGGCGTCCCTTCAAGACTTTTTCTTTGTTGGAGAATTGCATGGTTCGCCCTGCTGCATGTCAAGCCGCCCTTTTTTAGTTGTTTTTGATCAGGGGTGGACGTCATACGAAACAGAACCAGAAGAGCTCATGAGCCAATCGGGATGTGGGAGGAGTGAATCGGATGCATTTTTTGTTTTGAAACAACTTACTGCAAATCTGCACTATGAGGGCTGCCCACCCCCACATTGCTGGTAGTTCGTCCTCGTCTTCCTCAAAGGAAGCTGCCCAGCGTCTTGGCCAAGGTACATTTCACAAGACGAAGCTCTGCCGGTTTTCCCAACTTGGGCATTGCCTCCCGACAAGGATCCGGTGGTCCAGTTGTCTCGCTAGGGTCGTTTCCCAGCGGGGACTTTTTTTCGGTCTTGAGCCAGGAAAAGTTTCTTGGGTTAGTTTAACCTAATCCATGCTGGCTGTGAACCAAAACAAGTAGCCCCGGAAACGGCAACCGTTTCCCTGTGACCCTCTCAGAAAGGGTGGGGAATGGCTGCGGGCCCTGCGGGGTGATTTAGATTGGGTGGGGTTTGAACCCTGGATGGTAACCCTCTAAGCCAAACTTTATCTTTCTAGGTCCTTTAGGCTACTTTACACACACACACACACGCACACCTAGTGCTGTTTCACATCCGTCATTCATGAAGGTTGAACACATGGGGTCAGGGCTGTCACTCTCGAATCGGAGGACCATGCCGGACTGAAATCAACGAATTTCAACCACAAATTTGGGGTGTCCCTGTTGAATTCATCCAAGGTTTACCGTATCAGATCAGAGTTGCCAAAACATTCTACAACTTGTGCCGCTAGTGGAATGGGAACAACCCAGACGGGTCGCATCCACATGGCAGCTGCGTTTTCCGCACTTGGACACAGGTTGGGCTTTTCTAGCCCAAAAAGGATGGTTGGGCAAAACATTGCGTAATTCCCCTTCAGGATTCAACACACCGCTATATCTTCTGCACATAAAGGGAATTGCAACATTTAGTTTTGACCTTACTGCAGACTTTGGTCCTGTTGCTAGTGGCACACATCAAAGTCAAACTGCTGTAGCCCCACTTGTGCTTGTCCGAGGCCCGTGACGTTCGACTCGGGATGATGAATAAAGTGAGGTGGGTGGCCGAATCCACCACTGAAGGTATTACAAAAAGGACCGGCATCCACTTGGCATTTTGCCATGTCTGGAGCCCTTTGGGGGCGAAACTGAAACCACCAGGTCCAGCCCGATTTCTCACCCAGCCCAGGTGCATTGGGCTCCAAGTGCAATTTCGCACATTCGGAGGAGGACGGCAAACTGTTCGCCTGGGTCCGTGCGGACACGAGGCTTCAGGCTCGACCCAATACCCAAATTGCAAAATAGACCCAAAGGGGGGGGGTCCCTTCCCGCCAAAAAAGAAGTAAGCGTCTCTTCATGTGGGGGGACCTCGTGTGGATTTTACCCGTCTGCCTCCCAGTACCCTCTTTCCATCACTCCGTTTGAAGATGATCGTAGTCTTCCAATTTTGCCCACACTTCCGTGATTGGTAAAATGAGGATCCACGTGAGGTACCATCCAAGGTCCTCTTTTGCACTGGTTCACTACAAGTTCTTTCAGTCTGGTTGCTCTAACTTCAGCTCCTCTCCATGGCGGGGTTACAGAAGTAGAAGAATCCCGGGCAATTGAAACTCGAAAAGCAACTTAGCTCGGAGATTGTTATAGACATATTCATGCATACAGATATGTATATATATATATGTAAATACACATTGATGCACATGGTACCGGGCATGGGCCTTATGCATATGGCTTGGAAATCGGACAGAAGCAATTCCTTGGGGGGTGGGGGGCAGAAAACACAAAGAACACCCATGACATGATTGGAACAAGCAGTCTATATATATATACACACATACACATATACATATACACATATACATACACATATACATATGCACATACACATGTATACATACATATGTGTGTAACCTTCCAATGTTTCCCGCGATCTGGTTCCTCGCAGGAGATCCGGCCTCTGGACACCAGCAAGTTGCCGGAGCCGCCGGTGGAGATCACTCCGGAGCCCTCCCGCTGGGGGCGGGTGGCGGGTGGCGGGGCGGCGGGGCGGCGGGGCGGCTGGCAGGCCTCCCTGGCCTCGGTGGGTCACCCCGTTCGAGGGCGCACCCCGCTCTTTTTGGGGGCGGCGCCGTACCTTTTTTTTTTTGGGGGGGGATGCTCGTTTTTTGTTTGGCGCCGTTTTTTTTTGGAGGCTTAGTTGCTTGTTTGTCGCGTTTTTTGGGGGGAATGCGGTTTTTGAGGGTGCGTCTCGGTAATTTTTGCCGAGGGTGCTCCCTTGGTTTATTTTTTGTAGGTACTCCCTTCTTGAGGGTATTCCCTTTGTTTATATAAAGGGAACCAAGCATTCCCAGACCTAATAACCCAGTTAGTTTAGTCATCGCTTTTTCGCAGCAAGGGAACTGCTGCATGTGCTTTCACGGTGTAGTCAGAGTTACTGGGAAGCAGCCACTGGGACTGAGGTTCTCCTGCATCAAGTCACGCTTCCTGAACTTTTTGACTTGTTATGCATTCGGGAAGAAGACGCCTTAGCGGTAAGCAAGAAGGCAGACTTTTTCCAGCCGATCCGACCCGAAAGTGAGACATTCGTTACTGCAGATGGCGGCATTTGGGGTGTGTGTTTGCGGCTCCAAAAGGGCGAGTTGGCTTTGAACCAGTTGAAGGGGCTCGTTTCTGGTCGTTTTAAAAGGAAACCAAAGCCATCTTAGTTGGTTTGTTCTTCGCAATCGAGCGGTCATTTGAGGGCTCTTAAATGACATCAGTGTTTTTGAGAGTCGAATCTGTTCGCAGACTTCGGTCTTGGGCAAGGCTAAGGTAGTTGTGTCGTGTGGCTCGGTCAACAGATGATGTAGCCTAATTCGGGTTGTACCCCAATTCGGGTTGTACCCCAATTCACTGGAAAGCCATGCCAACTGTTGCACATAGAGAGATCATGTGTATACATAGATATATGTAGACGTAGTGTATCTATCTATATATAGTATATATATATATATATGTTTCGTGTCCCCGTAGCATGGCCCGGTCTGTTGATTCGCTACTCACCAGGGATGCCTAGGAAACAACTTGGGGGGGATCGGTCTCCCGGTTAAACCGGGGCCGGTCTTCCGACTTGTCCAAACCAGTAAACAACCAACCAACCAACCAACCAACCAACCAACCAACCAGCCAGCCAGCCAGCCAGCCAGGCAGCCAACTAACCAACCAACTAGCAAAGACAAGCCGTCCAGCAAACCAACCCGGAGCCAAACTAACCAGTGCACAGAAACCCTTTGTTTTTGCCAAGGGCACCAACACCAAACCAAAGAATGAAGCAACCCATCCAACAAAAGCAACCCGTCCAACCAGTACCAGCGCCAAGGCCAAGATCCTCACAATGGTCCGCCTGCTTTTGGTTGCCTCTACCTACCAAAGGGGTGTTTCTCAATTTTGCTTCGGGACACTGGTCAAAAGATCCAAATTGTATCGCAGTGTTTAGACATATATATATATGTATATACACATGATCTCTCTACATCTATAAAAGCCTGGCCTTATTCCAGTTGCTTCTTTTTGCAGGGCCTAACTGAGAAATGGAACGACCCCAGAAACACAACAAGGGGCATTTCATCCCATGTGCAACGTCTCTGTTTTTTTCTTCTTTTTCCGGGTGACCCCTATAGAAAACCCAACATTCATCGATCCCTGCCATGGCCGAGTTGGCGTCCTTCTCCACCCGAACTGCCGACCAAACTCCGCCGGAGCCTCGGATCCTCGTAGGAGCCGCGGCGTGAGAAGATGCCGAAGGAGCTGAAGGCGCCCAGGCCCAGCCCCGAGCCCCAAGCCGCGCGCAATTTTGTTGGTGAGCTGAGTGAGCCGAAGTCCCGAAATCAGAGGTGTGGCGCAATTTTGTTTCCTCATTTTTGTTGGGCTTGGGCTTTTTCCCCCGTCTTTTTTGGGCGTGTTTGTTTGTTTCCTTCGTTTGTTTTTGGCTTGGGTTGTTTTTTCCACATTTTTTTTGAAATGGTGGGTGTTTCTTAGAGTTGGATTTGGGTTTGGGATGCTTTTCCGGATTTTTTCTTGGCTTGTGGGGCTTTCTCGGAGGATTTGGATCTTGGATGGAGTTGGAAGAATGGTTTCTTTCCAGCTTTTTGTTTTTGCCGTCCAAAGAAAGGGTCTACCATTTTGAGAGAATTCGACTTGGGCATGTGGGTGGGTTGCCTTTTCGAATTGGGTGGGGTTGTTTGTTGAAGGGGGACCCTCCCCCAAAAAAACAACAACAACACCAACAGTTTTTGTCACTTGAGGAATATGAGGGGCCTAAATATTTAGAATGGGGTTGTGGTGCGCTTTGCAAACCAAGTTCCTTATGATCACAGGACAATAATGTGCATAGAACACGTGGCTGAATCCTTGTCATGACTTGTTTGGGTTTCAAAGTACCCAACCCCACATTCCAATTATTTAGCCTCCTTATATTGTCTTATTTGAGGGGCGACCCCTTCTCAGGATGGTTTTCAGCGAAAACCCCAAAGGAACCCACGCATTCGGGGGGTCCGGGTCCAAATTCAATTTTGAGATAAACCAACACCAAGCAAAGGAAACCCCTAGGGCCACATTCTGAACGGACAATCTTAGAGGGAAATGATAGCAGAGACTGCTCTTTGGGGCCCCAAGTGAGGGTCTCCGAATGGGTGTGTGTGTGTGTTGCTTTTTGAGGGTTCCCTCTTCTTCTGTTTTCAAGGGAGGTTTGAGGGACACCATTTGGGATTCCCCATTTTGGAGAGACACCCGCTTGGAGCATAAATGGGGCCTGGGTCTATACCACACTTTAAGCGAAGCATGTGAGAACCTGGGCAGGTCTTGGTCTTGGCTTGGAGCTTGAAGGTATTCGTGCTTTTCCCTGCCGAATATGACCCAAATACCCTTTCTACGGTACCCCTTCACGGGAAACATGTGGAGGCTCCGCATTAGGGTGTGAACTAGACAAAGTGCCGGCACGGCCTCTCAGTTTGGCAGGCTGCAAGTTTGATCTGTCAGACGGAGGATTATAAGGTGATGAGCCATAGCAAGGCTGGTGTCAGCGCCGCTTTCCTGGGCGCTACAAGTTGGCGTGGACCCAAGCTCTAGAAAAATCTGGGACCACCAGGGGATGCCATGGTTGCCAAATACTCAAGGGACATTTCAGGCGCAGCTTCCCGTTTTGCAGAAGGTGAAAGCAGGGTGGGTTCCCTTCACGCGGATGAGACATGTGAACATTTCCCCCCTTTGGCAACTTGTGCGGCGCCTGTTTCTTCTGCACCCTAGGTTGGGGGTACCAACCTCTGTATGGTGGGTTTGTTTGGAGGGTGTCGCCCTATTTTGGGTTTCCCACCGGCTTTCCCGTCAGAGCAACGAGCGGGCCCAGAATGTCCGACTTTGGGGGCTGCGCAGGCAGCTGCTGCAGCAGCAGATGCTGCAGCAGCAGCAGCAACAGCAGCTGGAACAAAAGCGCCATGGAAGCAATCGGTTGGCAGGTTTGCTTCTGAGAACTCTTTCGAGAAGGCATCCAAGGACCTCTCCTGGGGAAGGGGTGGGGATGGGCGGGGGCGGGGCCTGAATGAAAACTGATCTTTGCGTGCACTCCAAAGCCCGAAAGCTCCAACTCACATTTCCCCCTTGGACTCTTTGCTGTGTTCTGGCAACGTGGGGAGGAAAAAAAGTGGCCCCTCCAAACAACGAGACGTCTCCCGGCGGAGCACCGGCGATTGCTCGGTGCCCAGCGGGTTCCGGTGGACCCGAAGGGTCAAACAGCCGCCACGAGCGGCGTGGGGTCTGCTTCTGTGAGGGCGCCTCTTTTCAGGTTGGCAAAAAAATGGGAAGCTCCCCCTCTTTACTACTTTTTTTTTTTCACACCTACCGTACCCGCCATGAAGCCAGCGTATTTGGAAGGGCGTCCGAGTCTGGCGCATTCTCGCTTGAAATGGCACTGCTTGCCTTTCGCTGAATTTGGGGGCTATGGCCCGTTTATGCTCATAGGGCCAATGTTCCTGGCGGAAGTTTTGAGAGGCATGAGCTGCCCCAGTTTTTCCAGAAGACCATGGCATCTTGGGAAACAAAGACTCTTGAACAACAATCACTCTTTTGTTTCATAAATATGAGGGGCCTCAAGGACACCCAACGACCAACAATGAGGTCTTGGGCCCCCAGATTAATTGTCCCTCTTGTGTGATTGAGACTTCTTTCCCACTGGGTATTGACCCCATTTAGGCACATTTCCGGATAAACCAGTGTTATTTTGAACCATTCCGGGTCATTTTCCAACGGTGTATTCCCAGAATGTAATACAAAAACCCTCAGTTTTTCAGGGCTCCTCAAAAGATACATTTTGCCCATTTGAAACATGGCTTTTTCCAGCTAATAAAGGGAAACCACCATTTACAAGGCACTGTTCAGGTGTCTGATGTAAGGATATATATTTTTTTCTCCGAAAGTCTGCCCATCTGAGGCAGATGCAGCAGCAGATCCAGCTGCAGCGGCAGCAGTTGCAGCAGCAGCAGCTCGGAAGGGGAAGAAGCGTGTGGAGCCCGGGCTCTTAAATAGCCGGTTCCTTAGTGTGTTTTTTTGGGGGGGGTTTAGTTGGCTTAGTGGTAGTTTTAGTGGTAGTCCATCCATGAAAAACATACTAAAAGCTAAACAGCAATTGGCAGGGGATCTGAGAACAGGCCATTTCCGTGGATGGACAAAGAATCAACATTGCTGGGATGCATGAAGCTGTGTGAATGGGACAAGCCAGCTCATTTGGTGCAGGATTCTGTTCATCCGCATGGAATTGGGCAGGGGAAACGACCCTGGAGATCTCCATTCATGGAGTTCCATCTTGCCTTTTGTGGCGAAAGCTGAAATTGGGGACCCTTCACTCCCCCCCGCAAGGTCGGGAGGTGGCTCCTTGGCTCTCTGGTAAGTCCCTTTGACTCGTTTAGACCCGTTCATACCGGTTGACGAAGCATGCGCAAGTGTACCCCAGAGGGCCAGGCACTTCGCGAGATATTTGCAGAGCGCGAGAAGACGTTCAACCTAAATGAAAGCATTGAACCGTCGAACTCATGGGGGCTGGGGGGGAGGGAGGGGCCCCCCCCCCCCCCCCCCCCCCCCCCCCCCCCCCCACCCCCCACCCCCACCCCCAACCACCCCCACCCCCAACCACCCACACCCCTACCCCCACACCCCCACCCCCACACCCCTACCCCCACCCCCCCCCACCCCCCCACCCCCCCACCCCCACACCCCCACCCCCACACCCCCACCCCCACACCCACCCACCCACATTTCGAGAAGCTTCCCCTTCAAACCTGCAACCACTCAAAAAGCTCACCCCCACACCATTGGCGCTAGGCAGTTGCAGCTCGTGGAGCAGCAGCAGCAGAACAAGCTGCTGGCGCTGGCGCTGCAGCACCAGCTCATGAGCCCGCGGCTCAGAAACCGGGTGAACTCCTGGCGCGGCGATGCCCAAAGTGCCCCTCCAACAGCTACGGCCGTCTCAAAGGAACAAAAAGTCAAACCGAGCAAGCAAGCAAGCAAACAAAAGCAAACGAACGAACGAACGAACGAACAACACAATGAAATCAAATCAGCTACACCCCAAAAAACAAAATCAACTACCCCTACCCTCAAGAAGAACTAAATCAATATTGGCGTTCATTTTGGCTTGCAGGGACTTCGTAATGGCCTTGCCCGGGGGTCAACATGGAAGCCTTTTTGCGAGGAGTTTACGGGTAGCCAAAGGGAAAACATTGGGAGTTCCCCTATTCTAAGACACACAGCAACTTGAGCAGGTTTGTTCAAAATAAGATTTGGATCCCCGAAATGGCTGGTTTAGCAGTGTGCAGCCGTGAAGTCGCTCTGTGGGTTTCTGCGAGTTTCTGGACTTGATTCGTCTTGGGTTGGGCTTCCTCCTTGGCCCATCACTTCTGGAACTGCACAAGTGTAAAGGTGGGGTTGCCCACCAACGGCGGGGGGGAGGGGTTGAAATGAATCGCCTTTTGACGGACGGACCTGTTTTGACATCATTTCACATGTTAAGTTTGACTTGCGGAGGACTAGAAGGCAAAAGCTGAAGTGTCAAGGACCTGCCCTCTTTTAGAGCATGGCCTTTTTTGATGGTTGAAAAGAAAGCCAAAGTGAAGGCCAAGCCCCATTTTGGAGTTCCGACATTATTTGTAAACCTATTTGCGAGCATTTGAGGGTTCTTCAGGACCTTTGTAGGACATATCAAGGCCTTCCTGTTGCCAAAAGCGTGTGATCTTCACTTCGCCCGCGCCGCCCTCTGTGGTCTGTACAAGGTGAACGATTTGCAAACTTTAGGTAGTTCGAGCTTCGGCAACTCGTGTTTTCTATTGGCGTTTTCACTTCGCTGCGGGCTGTCTGGAAAAAGCTCACTGGCTTTTTGGGATGTTCAATTTCGTGGGCTAGAGAGAGACAGAGAGAGAGAGAGAGAAAGCGAAGCGAAAAGCAAAGAACAAACAAAAACAAGATAAGCAACAAGAAGGAAAAGAAAGGAGTAAAATATCAAACAAATACAGGGAAAAAAAACAAGCAGAAAACACAAGAAGCAGGAGTAGGAGGAGAAAGGAAAGGACGTAGAGCGAGAAAGGGAAGAAGCAGGAAGATAGAGAGAGAGAGAGAGAGAGAGAGTGAGAAAAGGGGAAATGAGGCTCATTCCAAAGTGTAGTTCTTGTATTTGTGAAACGTCCTTAGTTCGGGCTTTACCGAACTTGACTGGTAATTTACCGGGTTCTCTTTGGTTCCTGTTTTGCTTTTGAACAAAAAACAACCGCCGGACCTCGTTGCCTCTGGCTTTGCCTGGTGGGATCCGTCCAGAGAACCCAGAAGCCTCCCACTTTGGGCAGGGGTGCTGGGTCTACAGTGAACATTGTTTTTATTTTTTTTGTTTTTTTAAATCAGGATTTGGAAGCACTTGTGGTTGCTTCCTAACCCACCCTTTAAAGCGGCACCCTTAGTCTAGGGGAAGCTTCCTCATTTCCATGGATCCTTCTTTTCATGAAACCATCTGAAAAACCAAGTTGGACAGCAGCTGTTTTGTGAGAAGAACGATGGTTGAACAGATTGGACAAGCCATCAACCACCGGACTTGACAACATTCTGGGGGTGCCATCTCCTTCAAGAAGACCTGCGGAAGCCCAGGGAAGACGGATCCGGTTTTTGAAGAGAAGAGTGGTTGGAAAAGGAATCAACCCCCAGATGTGTCTTTTTCCCCCTTCTGTTTGGTCCGGAAAAAAAGGGAAGCAACCCCTAGAAACATCTCTCGACTTTTTTGGCGTTTTCCAAGGCACAGTGGAAGCGCATCCCGAACGGACGGAGCTGCGGCGCGGCAGGGGGCTTGGATCGGGCGGCTAGAGACGGACAAAAATCCTGCAGCTGGGGTTGTAGGTGGTTTCATGGTTGTTGTTGGGAAACATTTGTTTTGTAAACGTTTTTGCTTATTGTGGTTTAGTGGTTGAAATCCAAATTCACTTAACTGCTAAAATTTAAGTTTTTGCTCCCCTCCCAACGTCGACCAAGGTTTGTTTTGTGGTTTTGAAGAACCACCCTCTCACCCCCAGTTTGTCCGGAGGACTGGCTTGTTAAGCATGTCGGATCGCCTAAAGATGTAGGTTTCGCGTAGGTCTGCCAAGGGAGTCCCATGTCAAAGGACCTGGGTGGAAAATGCAGAAGGACCACGGAATGGAGAAGACGTGTTGTCCTTGGCAACTGCTCGCCTTTGCGCTTTTCCAATGCGCAAGGACCCTTTCCACCTATGTGTCAAACGAGGGGGACCCCACAAAATGCTGTTTAGCTTTTGGTTCCCTTTGAGCCAACTCCGAAAAGGATGCCCGCACAGAATACATCCATGTGGCAAAAGCTTGCCCGCGTTGACGCGGGCTCAGGCACGCAGAATGCTCTCATCGACACCATCATGTGATTCGCATGTGTGTGTCCACTAGTTCCAAGCTCTTCGAGCAAACAAGTGCTCCTTGCGAAATTTCACGGCCTTTCGGCTCCCGGTGGCCCAGGCATTTTTCCCCATGGGGGGCAATGTTCAATGTTCCTTAAAAGACACAATTGGTTGCTTTTGGAGCAGCCCAAGTCTTGTGTTTTTGTCAGGGAAACCCAAAGGACGACCACCGTTCTGGGGGATCCGATTCCTAAAAAACAACACGCCCTCATAGGGCGGTTTTCTGCGTCCGCCTTTCCACCAGAGCGGTCAAAAACCAATATGAGACCCCATGAAGTTTCGGAGTTTCGGCGAGAACTCCTTTTTTCTTCAGGAGGCAGACTCAAATGGCAATGAAGTTTAGGGAGCCACTTCAAGAGTGGTTGGTGGACATAAATCCCCACCTGTATGGGGGTTTCTCAACGTCGGGGACTCCTTTTTTGTCGGTTTTGAAAGGAAACCAAAAGGACACCACCTACCTGAAAAGGGGTTTTCAATTCTAAAATCCCTCTATGTCCACCCAAGGGTCCCTAAGGCCCAAATTAGAATTCTCCAAGTTCCCGACATTTTGCCTTCTCGCCACCCGCCTGAAGAGCGTGGAGGCCCGAAGTCCCCCCCAACTTGGGCACTCGCCAGGGATGGGCATGATTTTGATGTTGGACCAGAACCGAATTGAAGCCATTGAATCTGGTCAACCAGATTCAATCTGAAACCATTGAACAACCATATCGAATCTGAAAATGCCGGCTTTTCCGGCTAGGAATGGAAACCCCACTGACTTTCCGGGATGGGGGGGCATGACTGTGATGTTGACTCTGGACCAGAATCGAATTGATGCCTGTTTTCCATTGGGCCAAAGCTGAGAGACCGAAAGTGAGAGGCTCTACGGGACGACTAGACGTCTCGCGCGCGCTCTTTCGGCCACGGCCATTTGGCCATGGTGAGTCTCATGGGAAACGTTGGGGTTCTGAAGGCCGAAAGAACTCGCGGGTCCGGCGCGGCCATAAGGCTGCTTGACGGAAGTGCCCGGGGTTAGAAAAGCTTTTAAAAAGAGCCGCAATCAAAATCTGGGTGGGTGTTTAGGCTAAGGGCCCAATCATGGTGCCGACCTTTTGATTCTGTACATCGCGTTGGGTAGACCACCTTAATAGCAGGTTTTGATTGTGACTCTGAAATCATTTTGCTTGAGGTTGCTAGGAATGGTCATGGACCATGGACCCAATAGAAAGTTTAGACACCCATGGCAAGGAGTCTTGATTGGGAAAACCAGGAGCATGACCCACAGAATGAGTTTGACCGGGTCGACATTCATGCCGTGATGGACATCACCCTAGATCCGAAGACAATTTGGGGTCCATTTTGATTTTTTAGTTCATATGATGTTTTCAAGCTTTTTGGAAAGGAATCACCATGCTTTCAACAACGGAGCGTCTTGAGCTCAACCCTGTCATGTACAGCCGCTCTGGATTGGCTTGAATGTGCGGTGGGCTTTTGCAGTGCGAAATATCAGAATTAGGGCGAGTTCGGATTGAAAGAGCGATACATGGGCAACAGTTGCTCGACCGTCAACCAAGAATTGGCCCCTCGCGCTTTGTGCTGTGTGCTCAGTCTGGTGAGTTTGTCTGAGGGTTTTTGTATTACACCCTGGGATGACCATTGGGAAATGACCCAGAATGGTTCAAAATAACATGGTCTTATCCGGAAATGTTCCAAAATGGGGCCAATACTCAGTGGGTGTATTCCCAGGGTGTAATACACAAACCGTTAGAGTTTGGTGTTTCGACCAGGATGTCTTCGAAGAGCGCCAAAGTTCTGGTGATTCAGTTGTTCTAGGACTAGAAGGACAATTGTCCGCGCCCAAATAGGTGGTGGAAGATGGTTCGGGCAAGTAGCAATTGCGTTTTTGCCAGCCCAAAGACGCTGGGTGTTGGCCGTTTCGGAAAGTATAGTGCTTTTCTGGCAATGCATTGTGTTGGACAGTGAGACAACCTAACCTATTGTAATCATGCGCGTTCTCAAGTGCTGCATTGCCTTTGGATAGTCTGCCATGCCCAGATCCGGGCAACTGGAAGTGTGTTGTCCGACTGCTGATTTTGGCTCATGCATCCCCTTCATGTTTTGACCAACCAACTTTGGAAAGAGCCTGGACTCCCTCGATAGCACACATCATCACCAATCTCAGTTACTTGCATGACCTTTTTTTTCAGACTGATACTTCAAGGGGTGATACGGTGATACGGTGATACCCACCAACATTTGGGTTGGACCCAAAAAACCGCGTGGAGTTTCGTGTGAAAATCCGAACTCGGAGTTTGAACTCACCGCCCCCGCTGCTTGCCAGACTCCCAGACGAGAGCCAGAGGAAAAAAAAAGGCCGTGACCTCCAAAGTCATGTGGCTGCAGTGGCCAAACATGTGTACCCAAAATGGCTTGCCCTGGTAAAGGGAACCAAAGACGAAAACCTGCGGTCCCATGGTGGTTGTATTTTGACCCAAAGTCATGTTACCCTTTTTCCAACCATCTCTCTGGAGCCGTAGGTGGTTTATCCCAGTGTTTATGAGGTGTCATCCATCTCAGCTGGCGCGAAATGGACTTTGTCCAGGTGCTGTTCCAGGGGTTGATTCCTTTCCCATTCTTTTCAACTTTTCGTTTCTGCGGATTTCTGGAGGTTTTCCAAGAAGGATCCCTGGCAAGAATGTTTAAATGGAAGGTAGCCCTCGAGTCACGGAGGTGGACATGGAGTGATGGAGCCTGCCTTTTCACGAGGATGGGCGTCTTCTAACCCCCTCCGTCCACTGCGATGATTCTTGGGCAGAGGGTTGCTTGTAGGGTAGACGAGATTTTCAGGGAACCTTTTCTTTGGCGCATTTTGCCAAAGAATGTTAGGACTTCAACCTTTTGCCGACTAATGGGTTTTCCGCATTAAACCACTAAAAGTGATTAGCAGATTTCGCAACCGAGTTTTTATCGGGTTCCAATGAACGGGCTCCGATTGCTTGTGCAGGCCAGTCATGTCTGTATCCGAAAGGAACCTGCATCTGGGACCCATTCAACGGGTTTTCTGATTTTAATCTGGGCCAGAATCTGAACTTATTTCCCCAGAGATCTTTGGAGTGGGTGGTTGTTATCGCAGCATTTGTTTTACGGTTTCCGGACATTTCGAGGTTCCGGCTGAGACCATTTGGGCATATTTTTCGTGTTCTCCAGAGTTGGGCCAGTATGCGCCCTTGTTATTGTTTACATGGTTTGGCCACTTTAATAGCAGGTTTTGATTGTGACTCTGAACTAAAAAAAGAAAGTTGGTGGGGATGGTCATGAATCTTTTAGAAGGTTTAGACAACCGTGACACGGATTCCTGCTAGGGAAATTAGACACATCACCCACAGAAGGTGTTTTTGACCGGGTCGACATTCCAGGGACGAGATGGACAGCACCCTAGATTCTAAGCTCCTTCGGGATTCATTTCTACTGGGTGGTTTATTATGATTATGATATAGTTGAGATGGTTGGAAACCATGGAGGATTCATATGATGTAGTCTCAGTTTGGAAAGGAATCATTGCCCACCAACCATGGTGAACTCATATAGCCACCTCATCATGTTTGTGGTTACCCTCGCACCACTGAACATGGAATCTGACAGAGGGTCCCTTGGAAAGCTGGTCCAAATCAGAACCGAACCCCCCCCGAAACGTCAGGTTCCATGTGCGTGGTTGGCTTGGAGCGGACTCATCACCCACCAACCATGGTTAACTCATATAGCTACCTCATTAGAACCATGACATACTTAACTCATGGCTTGGAACGGACCTCCGCATGCCCTTTTTACGACGCACGGCTCCCCAAAGATTTGTTTTTCTCCGGCAGGCGCAGTTGTCGAAGCACATCCCGGTGGTGCACGCGACCATCGGCGGCACACGGATTTGCGGCAGGGCCCGGGCCCCAGGGCCCCTGGGCCCCTGGGCCTCGTGTTCGACGCAGGTCACGCGTCCGCAGGTCCCGCGTGCAGGTCAGGTGGCTCTTTGGTCTTGCGATCGGTTCGAGAGACAAGCAGAAGGGGGGCGTGTTTTTTGTTGGTGGTTTTTGTTTTTTCTTCTTTTTTTTTCAGGGGGCTGAAGCAAATCTGTTTGAAGGGCCTCTTTTGGAATTCAATCCTTCTGAAACTTGCTGGTGCGAGACATGCAGAAAATGAGAAATGGCTCATGACCCCGAGAAAACCATCCAACTGGTGGTTTCCTTTATTCGGGATTCCCCTTCGCTCTGAGCACCAGCAAGTTTTTTGGGAGGCTAAGGACCATTTTCCTTTGAAGGGGAGTTTTGGTGGGTTCCGTGTTAGTGGACCACAGGATATTGATCTTTGGTAGACCATCATGGCTGTTCATTGTTTGTCAATGAGCTCTCAATACCCTGTTTCAATGGCTTGCACATCCGCAACTTTGTTTCAATGTGTTGTATTTCATTCAATTTGAGCTCAAGAGTGAGGGTTCCCGCTTTTGTGATGGGGTGCATCGCCTTTGAATGGACAATTAGTCATTTGCAATGGGCAACTCTCACAACCCTGTTTTTCAGGGTAGGATGTCAAAACAGATATGCCCTGTTACGTCCTTTTCCGGGTTTGGCACTTATCTTGCCGGGAATCATGGTGATTCAAATCATTTCAGGGTTGCATTCATTCAGAAAGCACCCGCTTTCGCTTTTTGCAAATTTGTGAAGAGACGGATCCCTGAACAAAATGCGGGGGGTGTACATGTACTTCATAATCAGGCTCCCCTGGCGTCATGTTACTCCGCAGATGAGCATGGAACCCCGAAACCACCACTGCTTGAATCGTACTCTCCTGTTGGGGGGTTTGAATCTTGGGCTCCATGTGATTGTTCAATATTCCGGGAAGGAAGCTGGTGCGGCCGGGTCTTGTTGCTTTCTTCCAGGTCCTTTTTTTTGGCCAGAGAGAAGGAATGCCCTGTTGGAATTCTGAACACAAGTCCCATCTTTAGGATCGTAGACTCATCGGACTCCTCCTTTTTGAGATCCTTCTGTTGCCTTGGGGAGCAACTCAACTTATGGAAGCCCTTTTGCTGTTCCCCTCGCTCGGGTCAT